GCACTTACGCTGAGGCGACTTCGGGACCCTGGGCCTCGCAGTGGATAGCTGCCATGGAGCAGGAGATGGCATCTTGGAGATCCACCGGCACCTTCGTCGACGCAGTTCCCCCGCCTGGGGTGAACGTAGTCGATGGCCGCTGGCTCTTCAAGGTGAAGCGCCCTCCTGGAGAGCCGCCTGTCTTCAAGGCGCGCTATGTGGCTGGAGGCTTCAGTCAGCGCGAGGGGGTGGATTTCTTCCAGACCTTCGCTCCGACCCCGAAGATGACTACTCTTCGGGTTCTGTTACACCTAGCTGCTCAGCGTGACTACGAGCTTCACTCCCTCGACTTCTCCACTGCCTTCCTTCAGGGCAGCCTACACGAGCAGGTCTACCTGCGCCGCCCTCCGGGCTTTACTGGCACCTTCCCTCCTGGGACCCAGTGGCTCCTGCGGCGCCCCGTCTACGGCCTGCGCCAGGCTCCCCGTGAGTGGCACGACACTCTCCGTGCTACGCTTGCTGACCTGCACTTCTTTCCGTCTTCTGCAGACCCTTCACTCTTCGTTCGTGCTGGCCAGACTCCGTTCTACATCCTCGTTTACGTCGACGACCTGGTCTTTGCCACAGCAGACAGGGACGCGCTGGCCTCCGTGAAGGCAGAGCTGCTGAAGAGACACACCTGCACTGACCTTGGAGAACTGCGCCGTTACCTTGGCTTGCAGATCTCCAGGGACAGAGCTGCGCGCACCATCACCCTGACTCAGTCACACTTGGTGCGCCAGGTCCTTCAGAGGTTCAGCCTTCAGTTCTCCTCTGCACAGCCCACCCCTCTGCCTGTAGACCACAGGCTCTCCGCTCCAGTGCCTGAGGAGTTGGTAGAGCCCAGCGGCCCCTACGCAGAGCTGGTGGGTTGCCTCATGTACCTGATGACTTGCACTCGCCCAGATCTCGCATACCCTCTCAGCATCCTGGCTCGCTTTGTGGCCACAGGCAGACACCGACCGCAGCACTGGTCTGCCGCTAAGAGGGTTCTGCGTTATCTTGCTAGTACATCGGGCATGGGGTTAGTGCTAGGAGGACGCAGGCCAGTGGTCCTTACTGGGCACACAGACGCTTCGTGGGCAGACGACGCTGAGACACTCCGGTCTACCCAGGGCTACTGCTTCAGCCTTGGCTCAGGTGCCGTTTCGTGGAGAGCTACTCGCTCCTCGTCTGTTGCACAGTCCAGCTGTGAGGCTGAGATCTACGCCGGTGCCATGGCGGCACAGGAGCTCCGCTGGCTGACCTTCTTGCTCACTGACTTAGGTGAGCGGCCTAGCTCTGCCCCGGTCCTGTTCGCTGACAACAGGGCCATGATCCTCCTGTGTCAGGAGCCTCGACTCGAGGGCAGAGCGAAGCACATTCAGCTGCGGTACTTCCTCCTGCGTGAGCTACAGCAGCGACGTCAGGCTCGCGTAGTACACTTGGCCTCAGGTGCCAACACGGTTGATATCTTTACGAAGGCGCTTGCGCCTAAAGATCATCAGCGGCACTGTGTCCAGCTTGGTCTAGTTCCTGTAGCCTCTCACTTGCTAGGACCTTGACTTTGTACTGTCCTTTATATGTATACTCAGACTAGACTTGTGTCCTCTCCTAGTGGCTGGACTAGTAGTGCCGCCCTGCTCTTTGCTTGCCTTGTCTGTACTCCTTCTGACTGGTCGCTCAGACCCTTGTCTCAGAGGTTGGACTAGTAGTGCCGCCCTGAGTTGTTTGTTTAGGACTTTCCCCTATGCAGTCTAGGGGGTGTGTCAAACATGTCTATTTGTTATGTTTGTATAGACTGTATAGGGTAGCCTCTTAGAGGGTACAACACTTAGCTATATTGTGTGTACTCTCCCTCTATCACCATCACTTGAATTTCTGATACAATCAGCGTACCTCCAAATGAATCTAGGGGGCTGGATTCGAACCATGTGTAGTTCTCACACAGGAACTCAAAGAAAAACTGTATGTACAATACCAAGCCTGGATGCAGCTTGGTTCCAGTTCTAGTACCCATGTGAAGCACCAGATTTACATCTCCAGCCAGCCATCCTCGGACAACCTACACTGCCTTCCCCACTTGCCACCCCTTCCCCACTAGTTCTTTTCTGAAGGCAGCTGAAGCAGCAGCGGAAGCTTGGAATCCTCGCCACCACCAGAATCCACCGAACCCTCGACCAGCAGGGGCAAGGCACACATGCCAGCCTTCTTGCAAATCTTCCTGGGGTCCAACACCTTGGGCAGCTCCTCAAAGATAACCGGCAGAATGTCCTCGGCTGCGTTAATGCACTGTTGAAACATGGAGAGGTGGGAAGGTTCAAAGTTATACCAAAGAAAGGACCAGCAGGTTAAGGCAAGGATATTGGAGAGGGGACGAGTCTGTGATGTGTGGAAAGGTGCAACCAGAACTCAGTGGGCTTACCTCAGCGGTGAGGCTCTGATTGGCCAGCTTGTTGCACCTTCCAACAATGAAGTCCATGATGTGTGCCTGGAGGGAGTTCAGCGGAAAGAAAAATCAGAAGCAAGTTCCTAAAAAACGAAAACCAAAATAGAAGAAGAATAATAACAGTTGTAGCTCCCTAAAGCCAACCTTCCTCTCTCACTGCCTCCCATCCCATTTCACCCTTCCCCATCGCTCTCCCTAGGGGAATCACCTGTGTCTTGGGGTCAGACAGCCTCTTCCTGATCACCCGCACCATAAGCATGCACGCCACACAGTCCTCCCGGTTTGTCAGCCCACTCTGACCCTCCACTGCCCCTTCCACAGCAGTCACTCCGCCGACCACAGTCACTGCACCTGCCACGTCCTCAGGGTCAGATACAGCCTCCCCCAGCAGCGCCTCCTGAATGGTGTAGGCAAGGCTGTCCCTGGCGGGCGCTGGGGTCAGATCAACGGCTGCGATTGAACCAGGGTTTGGCGGGCAGACGTGGAAGCGCACGCAGACGTTGTCGAAGGTGATATCCTTGTTCATCTCAGCGATGACCAGTGGCACGTACTGCTCCACCATCGCGTTGCACTGGAAGACACAATATGCGATATGGGATAGGAGTCCAGTTTTTAACAGAAACACGAACAAGAGTAAGGGAACAGAGGAAGCGTAAAGGATAGCAGGCAGCGCGCCTGCCCCTAGATTCTATCTCAACATGAAGCTTTGTCTTCTGGCTTCTCTAAACAAAACTCTGATTGGGAAATAAAAAAAGAGGAAAAACGTTGGTTTCACCTGGGCTTCCTTCTCGGTGTCGAGCTGCGAGCACGCGTACGTTTCAACGGCGTCGATGACGTCAGCGGCGGTGCCAGGATCCGAGAGCACCATCTGCGCCTGAAGCACCACAGTTGTGCACGCCGCGCACAGCTGGTCCAACGGACCACCCGCTTCAGTCACAACAACTGCAGGAAACAAGAAATGAGAGGAGGCTCAAGCGTCATCAGGAAAACAGAAGCAGATTTAGAAAGGTATGCGCTCCACGGACGATAAGACAAACAAGGGGAAAAAACCGTGCGTCATATTATTACACCATGATGGCGGTAGAGAGACCTAAGTAGTAGGCAGTGTCGGTACGGGTATACAAGGAGTACGCACTGGAAGCCGAAAATGGCCGAGCGTGGCATCCCAGCACCAACAGCGCGGAAGCAACAGCAATTACGCAGAGAGCCACCGAAAGCTTCGCCATGGCACGGGCTTTAAAAGGACAGGTCGAAGAGGCAACTCTAACAGAACCGTAAAAGCGCAGACAACGGACGCTCCTAGGTCTTCTCAACTGTCTAGGATAACACACAAACTAGACTGCCAAGTTGTGGCAGTAGTGAGTCGTGGGGTTTCTATCTGATGGAGTGTGGGCGAACGTGGCAAGTTTCTTGCTACTTTGCCGAACACCCCTTCCGCACCTTCGACATCGTTACTGCGATTGACGAAAATCGCCAGTCATTTCGCTTCACCTTTAGGGTGGTGCCAACGAGAGCAGCATCGCATGCGTGGCGTGGTTCAACCCAGAGAGCGTGTTGGGAAAAGCAGCCAATCAGTGGGGTCTGCAAACCTCACGCTGATCGCACAGTTGGCTACTCCTCTGCAAGTTCGATATAACGAGATGCAGCTTTCAAAGTTGAGGTATTGTACGAGAGCTTACGAACCAACCAGAGCATGAACTGTCATTTCTTTCCCTTCATAAATTGGTGAGAAATACGATACGACCATAAAGAGCACAGTTTGAGTGCAGAAAGGTTTGAAAAAGAAGCTAGAAGCGGGTGACATAGAATTGTCCCTTCCCCTTCGGTTCGTTTCCTCCTTTGGTCTTGTATATGTCGGAATATTCTTAATTCATACTTCAACGGCCTTGTTAGTGGCAAGCTGTACCTAATTCTTCTGGCTTATACCGGTGTTCTACATTCAGGGTTCTGCCCGGATGTAGCTCTCGAGTCTTTGGGATCTCCCAGATGGAATATGGTTCACAAGTTTCCCAGGTTGCCGAGCCGTGCGGCGAGGGCAGTAAGACAGCTTGGGGCCGTTGCAGGCTTGAGGTCGTACACGCGATGTCCGCAAAGTGTCTTGCCCAATTAAATCCTAATCGCCCTCCCTCGCGCAATAGCAGAAGTTTACGGGCAGTATCCGTTTCGAGAGAGTCCCCCGCGCCGGCTACTGTGCTGAGTCATCATGACAGCGTCGATGAACATGCCGACAGCGACGAAGCAGTTGCAGCCTTCTCATTTTCGCCACATATTTACGTACGGCGTCGCGAGGGCTTTTCGTCCAGGCCCAAATGGCCTTTCGCCTTTTTCGCAAAGCCGCGAAGGACACGAGGGCAATGGAAACCAACGGAACACCGCAAAGGGGAAACAGCTCGATGACTCAGCATGGCATGACCCCTAGGCAACTGACTGAACTAGAGCCCTAATAGGTGGTTACCGTGGTTACATATGCAATCTGAACTCTGCCACCCAAACCTTCCCCTATTGCGACAAAAAAAGTAACTACCAACGTGCTCACCCTGAATCCCTAGCTTTCTAGCAGCGAAAGCGGGCGAAATACCAATTCGACAGAAGCCCCCGCGGCTCGAAAAAGTGGCGTGCCTCTCTCGGACTCAGGCTGTAGCAGGATTCAGAGTCCTGGAGCCCTATCTTTGGACTAGGCGAGTCGATTCGAGGAGTCATTTGGTCCACGAGTCGAGTCTTGGAGCCCTCTCGTCCACAGCTTGCCTTTCAATGCATACGACGGGGGAAGGTGGAACCACGTCGGACTTAGTCCTCTGATGCCTGGGAGGATACCTTCTACCTAAAGGAGCGATTCGCCTCAAACGAATGGTGGGAGGGGAGGAAGGCGAAGAGGGGAGGGAGGGGGCGAAGGGGGAGGGAAGGGGGGTTGAGGAGGGTTGGGGAGGGGGGGATGGAAGGGTGGGGGGCTCTCCATGCCTCCTACGGCGCACCGTATTTAGCCACGTGGGCCTCGTACCTGGCATCTTCAGAACCGTTGCTGTTCCGTCTTCCCTTTCCAGTGGGGCTGAGGGCGAGTGTGACACAAGAGGCTAGGGCACTGGGATTCCCGAGAATAGGTCGAGGCGATTCCCCCTTAGCTCTCTCAGCGGCCGGTACGACGGTCTCAGACGCTTGCATTAGCAGCAGGGAGCGGATTCTCCGTCGCCTCGGTTCGACTCATGACCATGGCGGGACCTCTGCTGCTGCGGCGTGCAGCATTGGCCGTCCTGGTGCTATTCTCGCTCCTCTCCGTGTTGCTGGCTGAAGGTGAGCCAGTCTGTTCTCGCCCTTTCGCCATGACTCGTGTGAATCGGGCTCATTTTCGTCCCTTGTGAATTGGGTTGGCTTCGTCACGAAGAAAAATGTGGATCTCTCCTATATTGTAGGTATAGTTGTTCGTATAGCAAGGCTACTCCGTAGCAGACGTACCTATGCCATACCTACTGTATACCTACTCCATATTTCTGATCCTGGAATTTTGGAGACGGTCTCCTCATGTTTGCTCTGCTCTGCGCCAGCCTGATTCACCTCGCCCGGCTCCCCTGCCAACGTGGCAGAAGGTGATTCGTCGGCGAGCAGCAATGCTGGCACGGGGTCCGCCAGCGCCCACCCAGTGTACCTGGTGCATCTGAGGGCGGCGGCTGTAGCGAGCTACCGAGGCGGCGTGGAAGGGCTGCCTGCTACAGTCGCAGCTCAAGCTGACCCTGACACCACTGGTGCTGGTGGCGCCAGCAGTGGCAGTGGCGCATCCTCTCTCTCCCAGCCAGGCCACTCGAGACAGTCAAGCTTTGGTAGCGGTGGTAGCCACGGCCCCAGCCGCGTGCGTCTGCCGCGCGTGGACATGCATTCTGCTGCAGTGAAGAGCTACATGGGGTACCTGGAGTTCCTACAGGCGCGAGTCATGGAGGATGCTGCCGTGGACCCGTCCAGCGTACTGCACAGGTGTGTGGGCTGTGGAGGTGGGTGGGCTGTGCACGTGCATTCGAGCTTTGGGAGTGGTTGTAGCCACGGCCCCAGGCGTGTGCGCCTGCCGCGTGTGAACATGCAGTCTGCTGCAGCGAGGCAATACCTGGGGTACCTGGAGTTCCTGCAGGCGCGAGTCATGGAGGATGCTGGCGTGGTCCCAGCACGCGTACTGCACAGGTGTGTGGGCTGTGCAGGTGCGTGCGTGAGTGCGCTGCACGGTTGCGTGAGTCATCTGACTCGCTCGCTTCTTTCTGCTCTTCTGCTCCTGCGCTCCTCTGTCTGAGTGAGTCAGGCGATTCGCATCGCATCGCTGCAAGCACTCATCTCATCACCTGAGCGGAGCTGTGGCTCTTTCTTCTTATCCCGTACTTCCCCTCGCCGTATCCCGTACTTCCCCTCGCCGTATCCCGTACGTCCCCTCGCCTTATCGTACGTCCCCTCGCCTTATCCCGTACGTCCCCTCGCCTTATCCCCTACTTCCCCTCGCCTTATCCCGAACGTCCCCCCGTTTCCATCCGTCTTGTCCTTCGCTTTCCTCCCATATCCCCTCTCCCGCGTCTCTGCCTCTCCGCCCTCCCTCTCGCTCCCCCCCCCCCTCCCCGCAGCTACAAGGTGGTGAGCAACGGCTTTGCAGCAGCGCTCTCGCCGTCTCAGCTTCTTTAATCGACTCAAAACAAAAGCAGTGTCCCCTCTCCTGTATCCTCCCCTCTCCCCGCGCCTCCCCCCCTCCCCCTCCAGCTACAAGGTGGTGAGCAGCGGCTTTGCAGCAGCGCTCTCGCCGTCTCAGCTGCAGCAGCTACAGCAACACCCGGCTGTAGTGGCCGTGCACAGGAGCAGCACGATTCACATGCTCTCCACCCGCCCCTCGACCTCCGTTGACTGGCTTGACTCGGTTGACTCGGGAAATCTGGCCGGATCCGCCAATCAGACTCGTCACCGCCGTGGGCTGAAGGGTCTGCAGGGCCGACGGGGGTTGCTGCATGTGCAGCGGCAGCAGCAGGCGCAGCAGCAAGCGCTGCAGCAGCAGCAACAGCAAGAGGGTGCGCAGGTGCAGGGAGATGGTATGGTGGTTGGAGTGGTGGATTCGGGCATTTGGCCCGAGCACCCTTCCTTCTCGGACAAGCTCATCAGCCCGCCCCTCTCCGCGCCTCCATCCTCCTGGAAGGGCAGGTGAGGATGTGGGAGTATGGGTGGGTGTGTGCGAGTTGCCAACTTGCGCCTCATTGGCAGGTGCAGGGAGATTGGATGCTGATTGGAGTGGTGGGGTCGGGCATTTGGCCCGAGCACCCTTCCTCAACTGACATGCTCATCAGCCCTCCCCTTCTCGCGCCTCCATCCACCCACCTGGAAGGGCAGGTGAGGGTGTGCACATGTTATTAGCGGGGATCTATCTGCCAAGGACTGCTGCGCGTCCATTCTGCCTATTCGTCACCCCCCCCCTCCTCCACCTCCTCCTCTCCCCCCCTCCCCCACCACTCCCCCCCCCCAACTCCCCGTTGCTATCCGTACAAGGACTTCCCAGCATCTACATGCAACCGCCACCTCATTTCCCAACACGCTCTCCCCTGCATCCTCCTCCCGTCCCCACCCCACCTCATTCCAGGCCGTCGGCTTCCTCACCACCCCCCCCCCTCATTCCACCCTCATTCCCACCATCTGCATCCTCCTCCCGTCCCCCGCCTCCCCCTCACCTTCCCCCACCAAGGATTCCCCACCAAGGATTCCCCACCAAGGATTCCCCTTCAACATGCATCCGCAAGCTCATTGCCCAACCCTCTCCTCCTCTCCCTCTTCTCCCTCCTCTCCCTCCTCTCCCTCTTCTCCCTCCTCTCCCTCCTCTCTTCCCCCCCCGCCTCGCCCACGCAGGTGCGTGGCCACCAAGGACTTCCCCTTGTCGGCGTGCAACAGCAAGCTCATTTCCCAACACGCTCTCCCTTGCATCCCCCTCCCGTCTCCCCCCCCTTCCCCCCTCTCCTCGCCCACGCACGTGCGAGCCCACCAAGGACTTCCCCGCGTCTGCGTGCAGCGGCTGGCAAGCTCATTGCCCAAACCTCTCATCCCCACCCTCGTTTCCATCCCCCTTCCCGCCCCACCCTGCCTCCATTCCTCCTGCCTCGCCCACACAGGTGCGAGCCCACCAAGGACTTCCCCTCGTCTGCTTGCAACCGCAAGCTCATCGGGGCGAGGGTCTTCTACCAGGGCTTTCAGGAGGAGGTTGGGACGAAGGACTGGGACCTCAAGGGCGACTGGCTCTCGCCCCGGGACAGCACTGGCACCGGCACGTGGCTCGCAGGGTAAGGCAGCAGTTTTGCTTGTGCCTTGCAGGTGCTGATACAGCCAGTTGTCAGGCTTTTGAGGCGACTCAAAAGCTTTGCCACGGGCACTGGCTTGCTGGGCGAGGCAGCTCCGCGAGCTGGATTCGAACCGCAGCAAGCCTCCTTGATTCTGCAGGGCGTTTCTGAGGTTTCCAAAAGCACCCTGGGCAAGGCAGCTCCGCCTCCTTGTGCCTTGCACGTGCTGATACATACAGCCAGTTGACAAGCTTTAGGCGACTCGGGCACTGGCACTGGCACTGGCACTGGCACTGGTACGGGCTAAATCTTTGCCACGGGCACTGGCTTGCTGGGCAAGGCAGCTCCGCTGCCGTGTGCCTTGCACTGGACGTGTTTCTGCAGCCAGTGGACGAGATGACGGCATGCTTTCTCCGAGAAGCTTTCTCAGTCACCTCACCAGCCAGTGCTTTCTGTTGTGTGTGTGAAGCTCCATTCCAGGGCATCGGCTTCCCACCACTCTCAGCACACGGTCTCTCAGGTTCAGAGTTCAATCCCCACTGCTGCTGCTGCATTCAGGTGCCTTGGACTCAGCCCCCACTCTCCCTCCCCCTCTCCCTCTCCCTCTCCCTCCCCCTCTCCCTTCCCCTCTCCCTCCCCCTCTCCCTTCCCCTCTCCCCTTCCCCCAGGGCCGGCAGCAGGCAGTGCCAACGTCCCCACGGCTCCTGTCTTCGGCTCCTCCATCGGCCGTCTCTCTGGTGTGGCCCCTCGGGCACACCTGGCGGTCTACAAGACGTTTTGGAAAAGCAAGGCTCTTGGCTGGAATGTTTGCAGTACGTTGGATATAGCGGCAGCGGTGGAGGCCGCTACAGCCGATGGTGTGCACGTGCTGCTGGTGGCTTTGATTTGGGACCCTTCGGCCACTTACTTTGAAAGCTTGCACTATTTGAATGCGCATCTGGTGAGTGGCTGAGGGGCGCTGAGGCGTGCTTGATTGAATGTGTGTTCGTCCGTGGTGCGTTAGCGCGAGCGAGCTCTAGTTTGAGCCTCCCTTTGGTGTGCATGTGCACAGCGTGTTCCCTTGGGCGCTGTTCTCTTGGGCGCCTGATCTGGAATTTGTGTCCTTGGCGGGATGTGTCCTTATATCTGCATGCAGGCCGGAGTGACAGTGGTGTTCATGGCAGGGGATTACGGCCCGCCCTCCAGGAACTCTCGGGAGTATCAAAACGTAGGGAACTACAATCCCTTCGGCCTCACTGTCGGCGCCAGGTGGGTCTGCTGTTGATGTCAGGTGAGCCTGCTGTTGCCAGCAGGTGGGCCTGCTGTTGCCAGCAGGTTGGCCTGCTGTTGCCACCAGGTGGGCCTGCTGTTGGCGCCAGGTGAGTATCTGTTGCTGCCAGGTGATTCTTCTGTTGCGCCCTTGCGATTGCAGCAGGTTGAGTTGAGTCATGATCAGTAATTTCACGCTTCTCGCCAACCCTCTCTGGTCAACCCTCTCTGGTCAACCCTCTCTGGTCAACCCTCTCTGGTCAACCCTCTCTGGTCAACCCTCTCTGGTCACCCTCATTTTCTTCCTTCCTCCCTCCCTCCTCCCTTCCGTTCCCGTTGCCTCCCTCTCCCCCGGTTCCCCCCTGTGCGCCCCGATCCCTCCTTCCCTTTGTCAACGCTTCAGCTCCACGAGCCAGCCCAGCGGTGTTTCACAGCGGTGACACGCGGTAACGGGACGGTGTTGCAGGGCCGCACAAGACTTACCTTCCGCTTCCTCCCTCTCCCCTGTTTACCCCCTTGCCCGCTTTTCCCTCCCTCCTTGTGTCAACGCTTCAGCTCCACGAGCCAGCGGTATTTCACAACGGTGACACTCGGTAACGGGACGGTGCTGCAGGGCCGGGGCATGGGGGGAGGAACCATCAAGCCCAAGCTGCCTGTTGTGGCGGGGGCAGCCGCTCCTGGGAATGTTGCTGCTGTGCGTTGATCTCAAGTGGATGCTTCGCCCCTCATGTTGATGCTTTGCCTGTCGTGTTGATGCTTCACCCCTCGTGTTGATGCTTCGCCCCTCGTGTTGATGCTTCGCCCCTAGTGTTGATGCTTCGCCCCTCGTGTTGATGCTTCGCCCCTCATGTTGATGCTTCGCCCCTCGTGTTGATGCTTCGCCCCTCGTGTTGATGCTTCGCCCCTCGCCTCACAAGGCGGAACGCACTGCCCAAGTCTCCACGTGACCAACACTCCCTCCTCCTCAACCTCCAATCAACGTCTCCCGGCCCGTCCCCCTGCCTCTCCGCCCCTTCTTTCTCTCTGCCTCTCCGCCCTCTCTCTCTCTTTCTCTCACTCTGTCTCTATAGGCTCCCTACTGCGAGCCGGGGTCCCTGAACAAGGGCGTGAAGGGCAAGGTGGTTGTGTGCATTGGCGGGTGGGTTCTGGTAGTCGACATGGTGCAAGAGGTGCTGGCCAAGAAAAGCGCGGGGATCATTCTGCTGGCGGACAATCTGGTGGGAAATGATGCTCTGATACCATACGACGCACGCCTGCCCGTGGTGCTGCTGCTGGGGAGCGAGCGGAGCACACTGCAGGAGTATATCGGTGGAACGGCCAGGTGAGTGCAAGGGGTGATCAGGAGGGTGAACGCGGATAATTCTCCTGCGGGGCATTCCGGCGGTGTATGGCCCTCTATATCATACGACGCGTGTCTGCCCGTGGTGCTGCTGCTGGGGAGCGAGCGGAGCACGCTGCAGGAGTATATCGGTGGAACGGCCAGGTGGGTGTGAGGGGAAGGGGGGGAGTGCTGCCAGGCTCCAGCACTCATCCACTCCACAGGCCCCTTTACCCGTTCCCCCTTGGCCTACTCTGAATTCTCGTCCCCACATCCCTCCCTCCCTTTCCTCTACCTGATTCCTCCCTCCCTCCCTCCCTTCCTCCCTCCCTCCCTCCCTCCCTCCCTCCCTCCCTCCCTCCCTCCCTCCCTCCCTCCCTCCCTCCCTCCCTCCCTCCCTTTCCTCTACCTGATTCCTCCCTCCCTCCCTCCCTCCCTCCCTCCCTCCCTCCCTCCCTCCCTCCCTCCCTCCCTCCCTCCCTCCCTCCCTCCCTCCCTCCCTCCCTCCCTCCCTCCCTCCCTCCCTCCCTCCCTCCCTCCCTCCCTCCCCCTCCCCAGTCCCAAGGTCACCATTGCCCAGCGAGCCACCTCCGGCGCTGGCGAAGCCCCCGCCATGTTCTTCACCTCATCCACAGGCCCCGTCACCGACCCCTCGCTCACACCCGAACCTGCCGCCCCCACCAACGACATTCTCAAGCCGGACCTCATCGCCCCGGGTGTGTGCCTCTTTGGGGCTGCTCCCGGCACCGTGGCCAAAGCCAAGATGAAAAGCGCAGCAGTAGCTATGGCTTCGGGTACAGGTGTCGCTGCGTCGATCACTGCTGGGATTGCTGCTCTGGTGATGCAGAGTAACCCCGCTTGGACCCCCGCGGAAGTGATGTCAGCCATGCAGACCACTGCTGATACTGTCAGTAATAAGGGGGGACCTATCAAGGATGCGTATGGCGCGGATGCCACCCCGTGGGCTATGGGCCAGGGGCATGTGAGTGCTGCGAAGATGGTAGATCCGGGGTTGGTCTACCCGGCCAACAGCGAGGATTTTTACAATTTTCTGGCGGGGCAGGATGCGACGGAAGCAGCGCAAGTCAAGCCCGCGGATCTCACTCTGGCGCCGATTCCCGCGTATAATCTGAACCGGGCGTCGATCTCGGTGTCGCGGCTTCAGGGCAGTGTGATTGTGAAGAGGCGGGTGACTAATGTGGGCGGCGTGAAAGCAACGTATACTGCGGCTGTCGTGGCGCCGAGTGGGGTTGACGTGACGGTTCAGCCGAGCACGTTTGACATCGAGCCGGCGGCGACAGTGAGCTTTACTGTGACTTTAACGCCCACGGCTGTTTCTGAGGAATTTGTGTTTGGGAGCCTGACGTGGGAGGATGGGACGGGGCACTCTGTGAGGTCGGTGATCGCGGTTCAGCCTCTTGCGTTGCCGGCTTGAAGCCGCCCAAGTCCCTCCCAAGTTGCAAGGCGCGAGTGCTTGAACCAGGGTGCATGCATGTATCTGTTAAGCTAAGGTAGGTAGCTAGGAAGCCATGGAAATGGCGTGAGGTTTAGCTAGGGGAAAGTTACGAGAGGAAAGAGAGAAACACTAGGAAGAGAGAGGCATACAAGGAGGGAGTTGTACCCTCTACAGTAGAGTTCGGTAACCTACCAAGCCTACCAATTACATAACACAATATATAATTTAACAGTATCATGTACTCGGCAGGTAAGAGCTTCTTGCATGGTGCTGTGAGAGGGCAGTGGCGCTTTGGTGGTCTGCTTTGGGCCCGTTAGTGCCACATTATTGTTGCTTGAGTGTGGATTTGTGATTGTGATCAGGTGTGGATGCCTTATTTCTTACTTGCCAAATTGCACTTTCCATGAATACGCTCTAAAAACTGCAGCAACTCCGGAAAACTGCAGCAACTCTGGGAAAGTCTGGTCTGGAGATACGTGAAATTTTTTTACATATTTATGGGAATGCTAACCACAAACACAAGTGGAGAAACACAATTCCCCTCAACCACCCCCCCCCCCTCCCCCCCCCCCCCCCCAAGCCTCCAGCACCTCGCAGTGCCTGCAGAGCGAACTTTCCACCACTGCCACAACTAACAGGCACCAGACTATACATGAACTAAAGAACGCAGCCACCCCATCACCCAGGGCAAAGCAACCCACAGCAAGCCACGTGATCGGATGGAGATACGGTAAGCCACGTGATCCGCAGCCCACCTGTATTCACTACAGCAACAACCAGAGCAAACAGCCCACGGAGCTGGGCAACCTAGCAGCACAGTCAGTCAATGCGCTTGTTCTGGTTGCTACGAGCAGCCGACCATTCCCCACCATCCCATCCTCCCGTGCCCCACCCACTCCCCTCACCGCTGCCACCACTGCTGCTGCTACCACCACTGCCACTGCTGTCAATACGCCCGCGGAAATCACTCAAAATCTTGCCAGCCGTCGCCTGCAAATCGCCCCACTGTAGCTTGTCCTGTAGCTTGTCGAGGACCACACTGTGATTGGTCCAGATGGAATAGGTGATGGCGGAGACAAGGCCGAGCCAGAGCAGGAGGGGGAGGAAGAGGAGCGAGGCGAGGGGAGAGGCGCGGTAGAAGGCAAGGAAGGTGGAGAGGGAGGAGACGGTGAGAGCGCCTGAGGGAGACAGACAGGGAGGGGAGGGGAAAAGGGAAAGGGAGGGGAGGGGAGGTGGGTGAGGGGAGGGGAGGAGAGGGGAGGGGAGGGGAGGATGACTGGGGAAACGACGTGAATGGACAAGCGTAGAGGCAGACAGGGAGGATGACAAGGGAAAAAGGTGACTTTTGAGTCGACTCAAAAGTCACCTCGCCTGGGAGGCAGACAGGGAGGGGAGGGGAGGTGAGGTGAGGTGAGGTGAGGTGAGGATGACAAGGGAAGCAACGTGAATGGACAAGCGTAGAGGCGCGTATGAGGTATTGTTTTGTCTTTTTCTCCCGACCAGACAGCGGGTGAGACCAAGCCCGAGCAGCTGTGGGAGGAAGAGGAGGGAAGCGAAGGGAGGGGAGCGGTAGAAGGCAAGGAAGATGGAGACGGAGGAGATGGTGAGGGCGCCTTGGGAGGACAGGGAGGGGAGGTGAAGGCGAGGAGGTAGATGACGTGAAGGTGACAAACGGTTGTACCATAACGACGGGAAGCATTTGTAGGATTTTGTTTTGAATTTCGTGACAGTGTGCTTACCCTCCTCACAGCAGTGTGTTTACCCTCCTCACAGCAGTGTGCTTACCCTCCTCACAGCAGTGTGTTTACCCTCCTCACAGCAGTGTGCTTACCCTCCTCACAGCAGTGTGTTTACCCTCCTCACAGCAGTGTGCTTACCCTCCTCACAGCAGTGTGTTTACCCTCCTCACAGCAGTGTGCTTACCCTCCTCACAGCAGTGTGTTTACCCTCCTCACAGCAGTGTGCTTACCCTCCTCACAGCAGTGTGCTTACCCTCCTCACAGCAGTGTGCTTACCCTCCTCACAGCAGTGTGTTTACCCTCCTCACAGCAGTGTGCTTACCCTCCTCACAGCAGTGTGTTTACCCTCCTCACAGCAGTGTGTTTACCCTCCTCACAGCAGTGTGCTTACCCTCCTCACAGCAGTGTGTTTACCCTCCTCACAGCAGTGTGCTTACCCTCCTCACAGCAGTGTGCTTACCCTCCTCACAGCAGTGTGTTTACCCTCCTCACAGCAGTGTGTTTACCCTCCTCACAGCAGTGTGCTTACCCTCCTCACAGCAGTGTGCTTACCCTCCTCACAGCAGTGTGTTTACCCTCCTCACAGCAGTGTGTTTACCCTCCTCACAGCAGTGTGTTTACCCTCCTCACAGCAGTGTGCTTACCCTCCTCACAGCAGTGTGTTTACCCTCCTCACAGCAGTGTGCTTACCCTCCTCACAGCAGTGTGTTTACCCTCCTCACAGCAGTGTGCTTACCCTCCTCACAGCAGTGTGTTTACCCTCCTCACAGCAGTGTGTTTACCCTCCTCACAGCAGTGTGCTTACCCTCCTCACAGCAGTGTGTTTACCCTCCTCACAGCAGTGTGCTTACCCTCCTCACAGCAGTGTGTTTACCCTCCTCACAGCAGTGTGCTTACCCTCCTCACAGCAGTGTGTTTACCCTCCTCACAGCAGTGTGTTTACCCTCCTCACAGCAGTGTGCTTACCCTCCTCACAGCAGTGTGTTTACCCTCCTCACAGCAGTGTGCTTACCCTCCTCACAGCAGTGTGTTTACCCTCCTCACAGCAGTGTGCTTACCCTCCTCACAGCAGTGTGCTTACCCTCCTCACAGCAGTGTGCTTACCCTCCTCACAGCAGTGTGTTTACCCTCCTCACAGCAGTGTGTTTACCCTCCTCACAGCAGTGTGTTTACCCTCCTCACAGCAGTGTACGCGGATATTCTCCTCTCGATTTCGACGTTTTTCCTTTCCTTTCAACGTTTTACGGTGTCTCAAACTGCCTTACCTGCAACTGCAGCAAACTGCAGCAACTGCAGCAACCTGCAGCAACTGCAGCACGTCAATCCTCCTCAGTATAACATGGCAGCGGGCCACGACGGCGCTAATCCCATCCATTCTTAGGTGTCTCAAAACGCCTCACCTACAACGCTCCCCGTACCTGCAACCGCCGCCGCCGCGTCGATCTTTTTCAGCCTAAACATGACAACCGGCCACAGCAGCCCAACGGCTAGTTGGATGAGATAAATCTCCAGCGCGCCTCGCTGCCGCGCCCATCCGCCATTCCGCCAAACCATCCACGACGCCACGCCAGCTGGCAGCTGCAGCACCGTCCACGTGGCGGCCAGCAGCCAATCCGCGGGCGCGAAAGCCGGCGGGTTGAGGCTGCGGAACCACTCGCCCGCGTCGCGCTCCCCAAAGCCCGCGGCGGCGAATGCGGCGGCGGTGGCAGCGACTGGAAGCACGACGGCCGCCGTCAGCGGCAGCAGCTGCCGCACGAGGGACGGGAGCGCGCTGGCCGGCGGAGACTGCGCGGCAGCGGCGCCGGCGCCACCAGCGGCAGCAGCGCCACCAGCAGCGCGACCGGCGGCGCCGGCGGCGGGCACTGCCGGGGGAGCGGAGCCAAACTTGCCCAGGTACTTAGCGCGCGGAACGACGAGAAGGGTGCGGGAAGCGGGCTGCTGAAACGGCGCGAGGGACGGCGAGGCGGGGATGCCGCGGCGGGAATGGCGGGTGGCAACCGAACGAGAGCCGCTTTTATCCGCGAGGCGCACCGCGGCGGAAAGGGATGTTCCGCAGAAGCGCGCCGATGCGTCGACGAGGAGATTCGAGGAGCTAGAGAGAGAATGGGATGACATAGTGAGGCGAGAGCTAAGAACAACGGACGCCATTGAAAGGTGCGACGCCATTTCAAGCAGCGAGGACTAGTCGTTGGTCTGAAAGAGCGAGCGCAGGAAGGAGCGCAGCGCTGGAGAGCTGCTAGTGACCGCAGACGCCAGGAAATGCCGCCGCGGGAGGAAGGGCTATGACGGCGCGATGTGTTAGGACAGTGTGCAGGAACTAGAACAAACTAAGCGGCAATTTCCGTGGCACATTTTAGTCAGTGCGCTGGAAACGTGGTCCTGATGGTCAAGAAAGACTTTGGGAAGGTAGAGTGGCGTTTGGGTGCCTACGAAAGAATCTCGTGTGTGAAGAAAATCCTCGCGTGCGAAGAATATCCTCCCGTGCGAAGAAAATCCCCGCCTGCGAAGCTAATTTCGGATGTGGACACGTTTCACGGCACGAGACAACTGTGACACAGTAGAAATGATTTGTTCATACAACTAACACGAATTTAAAGTGGGAAAAATGGGGGGGAAATGGGAACTAGATGCTAATGAGGACTCTTAGCCGTGCACTCCTTCCATCAAAAGGCAAGTCTGACAATTTCCTCCAAGCCTTCTCTTCCTCCACCCATGCCCGCAGATCCCCCTCACCACCCCCAGCCAACCTTCCACCTCCTGTAGAAACCACCAATCCATCGTCGAGCACAGCTAAATGCCGAAGAACCCCACTTGCCCGCCACAAAGTTATGATTTTCTTGGCGAGATCGGCTCGCCAACCGGGAATTCCAAGGCCTAGGGATGTTACAATGTCCGACGTTTTGCCGCTATTGTAGATTTGCTTGAGAGAGGACGGTTGGGTCCAGGAGAGGGAGGAGGGATGGAAAGACAGAATGGAGGGTTCTAGGGTGGGGAGGAGTGCGCCGGAGTAGATGTGCCAAGCGCCATTGAGAGCAAAGGAGAGGTGGGGTGAACTGGGAGGGGATGGGAGGGGGGGGAGGAGGTGGGGGGGGTTGCACATGGGGGAGAAGGTCAGATGAATGATGCTGCATGAGGGAAGAACACTAAAACGGGAAAAGGGTAGTGACAAACAGGATGCGGAGAGGGAGGGGAGGGGGTGGGGGGGGGGTGGGTGCGGGGTGGGGGGAAGATGAATGAGGAGGAACAAGCGAAGCGACCTACCATCCAGGGCACGAGGGGGTAGGAAGCTCCTCCCATTTCCACTTGGTTGCCTTCTTCCTTTCTTGCCGTCTCGCCTCACCCTTCCTCTCCTTCCTCTCCTCCCCCTGCTCTTCTCCAACCCCTTCCTCATCCTCACCCCAAGCTTCCCTTGCCTCCCACCACACCTCCTCCTCCCCATGTGACTCCATTGCACCACTTGAACCCTTCTCCTGCAGACCAGAAACCTCTGCTTTCCTTCCCAGCCTGGATCCCCCTTTCTCTCCGTCGCCTCCATCTCCTGCATTCTCTCCCCCTTCTCCTCCACTCCTCCTTTGCTCTCCACTCTTTCCCCCTTCACCTCCCTCCCTATCTTCGCTCAGTCGCATGGCAACCACCTCGCCTGGCCGGGACGACACGCCCATGTACAGGCACTGGCCAATCACAGACGAGAACAGCACCACCTTTCCGTGCGCACCAATGGCGTCGCTCAGCTTGAGCTGACGTGGAAAGGGAGGGCCGTCGCTCCACTGCGATGTGACAGAGTCGAACACGGACACCTGTAGGGTGGGACAGCAAGTTGCAGCAAGTTGGCGAAAGGCGCACGCTATTCAGAAAGGCTTGGCCTGATTGATCAATCAATGTCATGCAGTCGTGTTGAGACGCCTCTAAACGAATTTCCTTCCGCGAAATTCTTGGCCTGATCGACCAATGTCATGCGGTTGCTCACCTTGTTGACGTGGCAAAAGGGGTACGAGCCCCCTGTGTCGTCGTCTGTGCCAAACGCCAGCAGGTAGCGACCCAGCACCTCCACACACCGGATGAAGCGTGGACCCTGCCAGGGCAGGGCGAACCACCGCGATAGCACTGCCGAGGGAAAATGGGAGTCGACAGGGAGCTTATTACATAAAATCATCAGCAGTCTACGGAACAGGTATTTGGAAGCAGCTGAGAAGTAAGAAGAAAATCACCAGGATCCCTGAGGCGAATGAATTCTAGCAAGGATGGACAGTTTGTGACGAAGATTACTGGATGTATGGTGAGCATTGAGCAGCGCCACTAGAGAAGAGAAAGCATCTACCTGGCGAAAAGGCGAACCAGTTTGCGCTTCGGAGAGGGATGAGGTGAAGCCAGCTCTCCGTGGCTCCCAGTTGACTCCTCTGGCTGGTAGCACCGATGAGGGAGAAGGGCAGGGAAGGGCAGGAAAGGGCAGGAAAGGGCAGGAAAGGGCAGGAAAGGGCAGGAAAGGGGAGAAGGGCAGGAAAGGGGAGAAGGGAAGCCTTTCCTGGTTGAGAGGAAAGAAGGGAAGAAGGGACAAAGCAAAGGGAAGAAGGTTAGTTGGGACAACCAAAGCTCGGAGTAGAGGCTATCGGATGGACTATCGGAAAGCGTGAGGAGTTTATTTTTGAGGCGCCTAAAAAAAAATTGAGTTTATTTTTAGACTCCTCGTGCTATCGGATGGACTATCGGAAAGCGGAACTCAGACGCACTTACCAGAGCACGAGATGCGACTTGAACATTGACTGATTCGTTTGGACTCATGGGGAATATCTGTGGGCATGGCGATTTAAAACCGGTTGTTGCGGCAAGCTGGGAACTACTCGAGTCGTCATGACTTTTGAGGCGCCTCAAAACATGACAGTTTACAATCCGTCGTGCGTGCGAACCTCACGTGTACAGCTCGAATCCTGCTTTTGAGTCGACTCAAAAGCCGAGTCGACTCAAAATCATGACAGTTTACAATCCCGACGGGCCGTCGTGCGAACCTCACGTGTACAGCTCGGAGCCTTCAATCGCGGCGCGCCAACTCCTGCAGACCAGCTTGAGCGATCCATAGACGCCACGTGGCACTCGAGCTAAGCACGACAATGCCACGTCATCGGGCAAGTCTGGAATCAGACGGCCGGCCGCAGCGGCCATGCTACACAGACGGGAATCTACAAGCGGAAATAGCAGGGAGGAAAGGAGAGTCGGACGGAGGGAAGGACGGCAGAGAGTCGAGAGTCGAGACTGAGGGCGTTGGGGAATCTGCGCCCGGGAACACCGGGGACGAAAGGAGAGTGGAGGAGTGTGCTGAGCATAGCAGACAGGTCTGGTGGTCTGACTTATTTCGCTAGTTCCTTCCGTCGGAGCACTCACTAGCAAGCTCAATTTAGGAATTTGGTAAGATGCCCATTGCCCAGCGCTGACAGGAGTTGTTGTGACTCGATATAGTGCAACGAGGTTTCGTTTCAAAGAGCAGTACTAGTACTGTTACTGACGAGCGAAACAACGAAAATAGAAATCTGTTCCCCCCAAACCCCCCAACCACCGAGCAACGAATCAGTGTGCTCCACGTTGTCACGGCAAACTCCCAATGTACACCGTAACAGCCCAGCTTTTGTGCTGCAGCCTGCAAGTCGCTGTACCCCTCAGAAAGTTTTCGCCACGCGGGCTGCTTGCCCGTAACGCCCACGACAGCTTATCGTGCTGCCCACACGTGGTGGTCACCCCCCAATTTGTTTTCTCCCAGCCAAGCAATCTGCCCATTCTCCATGAAACACGGTCGGAGCCATTCACGCTCGCACGCGTGCCAGATGCGGACTGTTGAGCAGTTTGAATTTCAAAGCTTGAAATGCACTTCTGAGGGCGCGTTCTGGGCTCGGAAAGAGCCCCGAGGCAGAGCTTCGGGGCATCTGTTGTACGAGTGAGATCGCCCAAGCCCTCACGTTGTTTGATCTCACCCGTATAATTTATGTCCCGAAGCTCTGCCTCGAGGCTTGCTCCGATCCTAGAACGCGCCCTCAAAAGCTGTCCTCAGTAGCTAAGTAGAAGCCTGTGGGTGAGGTGTAGTCACATTATGCAGTTGCTTGGTCCACAGGCCGTCTCCCCTAGCAGCACAGAATAAGGACCTCGCCTTCTATTCTCCTAGACGTAGCTCCTCATACTCGGCTCCCTCGGTTCTCATTTGCGCTCTAATCTATATCAGCGGGCTTAGGTCTCCTTAGCGATGAGGCCAATGATCCTCGATCAGGCCCGTTGATCCTCTACTAGGACTCCTAGAGTCAACGCATCGGATTCAGGCCTGCTTGCCCGTGAAGCCAACGCAAATGTTTCACTTTTGACATCCGTCAACTAGTTTTCGTGCGAAGTGGTGAAAGATATAGAGTTCAAGATGGGGGCGTACTTGTCACGTCCAGTAACGGATAAAGAGTCAGAGAATGGCGAGGACGGTCGTATGCGGTATGCGGCCTCGTCAATGCAAGGCTGGCGAATGACCATGGAGGATGCGGTAAGCATCGACTCCTAGAATCCACTAACGAAAATACGATCATATTAAGGTTAAACATGATCAATCGTGCTGCATCTGTGGCCGTCTTTTGCGGCGTCTAAGGACAGCTTTACGGCCGTCCGGCCATTGCTGATCAGATTGGAGTACCCTGCGCTACCTTTCCGTTCTCGACCGCTGTTCTCGCTCCTTGTCTCTCTCTTCTTCGCTTTGTTATTCATTCTACCCGTTTCTACAGCATGCAGCGGTGCTGGATACTAACGGGGATGGAAGGCCAGAGGTGTTTGCCGTCTTCGACGGTCACGGGGGTGAGCTCCTCGTGCATCCCTGTGCCCATTGATCTGTAAAGGGGCGTCTTATAACGAGTATCTTTTCCGTCCTAATGTCCGTGTAAAGAAACCCATCCTAACTCCTTTGCCGCACTTCGCCTGCCGTTTCCGGCCCTTCACATGCTCACCACACGACCCGCACAGTTTGCAGGGTGTTTTTGAGAATTCTCAAAAGCATTCCCATGCTCACCACACGACCCGCACATTTTCCCAATCTCACTTTCCCACATCCTTATGGCAGGTCTCACAAGTCTGTTTTTGCGTCTCCTATCCTCTCTCTCACCAACTGTCACTCCCACGGCAGGCAGCGAGGTGGCGGCGTTCTGTCGTCGGCAGCCCAGCTGGCCAAGGCTTTAGAACCCAACCCGGGGGACATTCCCAAGGCTGTCGATTCGAGTCAAGAAGCGCTCTCACCCTCTGTCATCTCCCCTGGCAGGCAGCGAGGTGGCGGCGTTCTGTGGACGGCATCTTCCAGACGAGCTCGCCAAGGCGTTGGAGGCCAACCCGGGGATATTCCCAAGGCCCTCACCTCTCTTTTCCCCTCCCGCATCCCTCGCACATCCCTCGCACATCCCTCGCACATCCCTCACACATCCCTCGCACATCCCTCGCACATCCCTCGCACATCCCTCGCACATCCCTCGCACATCCCTCGCACATCCCTCGCACATCCCTCTCACATCCCCCCATGACAGGCAGCGAGGTGGCGGCGTTCTGTGGCCGGCATCTGCCAGCCCAGCTCGCCAAGGCTCTCGAGGCCAACCCGGGGGACATTCCCAAGGCTCTCACAGCCACCTTCTTCAGGTGCGTACGATGCTGAAGCTGCTCTGGTTCCTAGTCCTTGTTGGTTCATTGCTTGCCGGTTGATGATGGCATTGGAGGAGCTTCGGAAGGAGCTCTGGAAGGAGCTTCGGGAGGAGCACCGGGAGGACCACTGGGAGGAGCACAGGGACGGGACGAGTCTGCTTTTGAGTCGACTCAAAAGAGGAGCACAGGGACGGGATGAGGCAGCTGGCGCGCCAAGGCGAAGAGGTGGCTTAAGAGTCGACTCAGAAGTCCCCTTAGTTCAGTTTCCTCTCCCTTTTCTTCTGCAGGATGGATGAGATGATGGCATTGGAAGAGTACAGAGAGTAGCTGCGGCAGCTGGCGAGCTAAGGCAAGGAGATGGCTTATGAGACGGACGTTTCTTTCTCCCTTGCTTTCTTGCTTTCTTGCTTTGCAGGATGGACGAGATGATGGCATTGGAGGAGCACCAGGAGGAGCTGCGGCAGCTGGCGAGCCCCAAGGCGAGGAGAGCGAGGGCGCGCGGATGCTTGAAGTCCAGTTCTGAGGCGCCTGAAAAGTGTTTTCCTTTTGAGTCGACTCAAAATGCACCTGAAAAGTATTTTCCTTTTCCTTAACAACTTCCAGGGTGGATGAGATGATGGCGTTGGAGGAGCACCGGGAGGAGCTGCGGCAGCTGGCGAGTGCAGGCGAGGAGAGCGAGGACGCGCAGGGGTTTGTCTCAGAAGTATTTTTCTTTGCCCCTTGCTTCGCAGGATGGATGAGATGATGGCGTTGGAGGAGCACCGGGAGGAGCTGCGGCAGCTGGCGAGTGCAGGCAAGGAGAGCGAGGATGCAAGGATGCGGCAGGAGGAGAGAGAGGCGCGGCGAGGCGAGGGGGAGCGCAGTGCGCTGGTCGCCTCGGTGTTTGGCGCTGGGGGGGGGGAGGAGGATGAGGAGGATGAGGGGGAGGAAGAGGGGGAGGAGGGGGAGGAGGGGGAGGAGGGGGAGGAGGGGGAGGATGAGGAGGAAGAGGAGGAGGAGGAAGAGGAGGAGGAGGGAGAGGAGGGAGAGGAATCGGATGGGGAGGATGAGGAGGGAGAAGAGGCGGACAGTGGGAGAGAGACGCTAGGAGAGGGGGTCGAGGGTGGGGAATCGGGGAGAACAGGAGTAGGAGCAGCAGAGCGTAGAGAGGGCGAGATGGGGCAAAGTATGGCGCTCGATCAGGATGGAGTTAGAGCAGAGGGTGGCAAAAGCGGAGGAGACTGTAAAGGGGATGAGTGTAAGAGAGAGGGACTAAATGTAGACCAGGGGAAGGAGCAGGGGAAGGAGGAGGGGAAGGATCATGAAAATGAGCGAGGGAGAAGCCGGGCGAATCGGAAATCAAAGCCTAGGAGAAGCACCAGCTCGTTAGCAGCACAAGAGAAGGGCACTCCAGCAGAAGGAGAGGAGAAAGCCAACACGGCCAGAGCCCAGGCAGAAAGAGAGGAGAAAGCCAACTCAGCCAGAGCCGAGGCTGCCGAAACGGAGGGGAAAGAGGCAGGCACGGCTGAGAGCGGTGAAGGGAAGGGCAAGAGCGGTGGGGGTAAGAAGAAGAAAGAAAATAAGAGGAAGAGGGAGGGGGAGCGGAAGGGGGGAGGGGCGAGGGCGCGCGTGCAGGCTGCGTTGTCGTCGAGCCTCATCAAAATGCTCCTCGCTGACGCTGTTAGGAAGGCCAGGGAGAAGGAGGAGGAGGACGAGAAGGAGGGGGAGGAGAGGGGAGGGGGTGAAGGGCGGAAAGGGGAGAAGGGGGATAGGGGCGGGAAGAAGGATGGGAAGGGCGGGAGTAAAGGACGGGTGAAGGGTGGGGAGGCGGAGGAGGGAGAGGGGGTCGAGGGGGAAAAGGAGGAAAGTGCAGAGCGAATAGAAGAGGAGGGGAGTCGTGGGAATGATGCCAGTAAGGAAGGGAAGGAGGAAGGGAAGGAGGTGGTTGGGCAGACAGGGGATAAGGCGATAGAAAGGGGGGATGCGTTGGAGGATGAAGATGAGGAGGACGACGAGGGAGCTAAGGTATGCACTAGTGTGTGCTCGTGTTACTGTGTTACCACCCCAGCCCCCCAAAAGCACCGCCTACAGGGGTCCCGAAGCAGGGTACACAGCAGTGGTGGCGGTGGAGGCAGGGCGGCCAGTAATTCTCTCTCAAATCTCCCCCTCCCCCCCCCCCTTCCAACTCACACCAATGTCAGCCAGTCTTCATGGTCGGCAGGTGCACACCCAAGGCCCCCAGGAGCACTACTGCCTACATGGGGTCTGCTTTTGAGTCGACTCAAAAGCTACCTACAGAGGTCTGCTTTTGAGTCGACTCAAAAGCTGCCTACAGGGGTCTGCTTTTGAGTCGACTCAAAAGCTGCCTACAGGGGTCCCAAAGCAGGGTGTACAGCAGTAGTGGCGGTGGTGATGGCAGGGCGGCAGCTGTTAAGCTGCAAGTCTCTCTTCTCTCTCCCCCACGCCACCCGTGAGCCCCAGCCCATCTTCATGTTCGGCCGGCGCACTCCCCAGCCCCCCAAGAGCACCGCATACAGAGGCCCGGAGGCAGGGCGCACACCAGTAGTGGCGGTGGTGGCGGGGCGGCAGTTGGTGGGGGCAGGGTGGCAGCTAGTAAAAGGCAAGCTTCCCTCTCCTCTCCCCTCCCCTCCCCTCCCCTCCCCTCCCCTCCCCTCCCCTCCCCTCCCCACGCCACCCTGGCACACCAGCCCATCTTCCTGGTCGGCAGCCCCAACCCCCAACCCCCCCAACCCCCAAGCCCCAAGCCAGGCGTATTTTGAGTCGACTCAAAACACTCTCGTCCCTCTCCCCACCCCACCCCGGCACACCACCAGCCCATCTTCATGTTCGGCCGGCGCACTCCCCAGCCCCCCAAGAGCACCTCATACAGAGGCCCCGAGGCCGGGTGCACAGCGGTGGTGGCGGTGGTGGCGGGGCGGCGGCTGGTGGTGGCGAACGCAGGCGACTCGCGGTGTGTGGTGAGCCGCGGGGGCGAGGCGGTGGAGATGTCGCGCGACCACAAGCCCACGCTGCCGGAGGAGCGCAGGAGGATAGAGCAGGCGGGGAAGTTTGTGTCAGAAGGAAGAATAGACGGCTGCCTCAACCTCTCCCGCGCCCTAGGTATGGTGTGCCTTTCGCTGTCCCTCCTTCCCCTTTTCCCGATCCCTCAGTTTTTTTTAGGCACCTTAGGCTATCTCCTGTGCCCTAGGAAGGGGTATAATGGCTTGGCAGTGTGTACCACATGAGCCGTGGGGGCGAGGTGGTGGAGATGTCGCGCGACCACAAGCCCACGGTGCCGGAGGAGAGGAGGAGGATAGAGCAGGTGGGGAAGTTCGTGTTGGAAGGAAGAATAATAGACGGCTGCCTTAACCTCTCCCGTGCCCTGGGTACAGACTTCCCCTTCCCTCTGCAGTAACTTGGGCATTTTAGGCGATATCGTGCACTCTAGGGGGGGCATAATGGCTTGGCAGCACTTGTCGCATGAGCTGCGGGGGCGAGGCGGTGGAGATGACGCGCGACCACAAGCCCACGCTGCCGGAGGAGCGCAGGAGGACCCCCTCTTCCCTCCCCCTTCCCTCCTCTCCTCCCCCTTCCCGTCCTTCCCCTCTTCTCCCCCACCTCCACTTCCTTGCTTTTGGAGGCAACTTTGGGGATGAAATTCTCTTGCACTCTTGGGGAGGTCTCTGCCTACCGTTTATGCCCCCATGATAGGGTACGAGGAGCAAATGTTTCTTTAAGTGCAAGGTTTGGCAGATGAGGGAGGCTAAGTCCAAGTGATTGTGGACCGTACCTGCAAGTGATTGTGTGAGCAGGGGGCGTGGATTGTAGGGTTGAGTACAAGGGGTTAGTGCATGAGGCTAAGTCAAGCGAGAGGAGCTGTTTTGGAATGTGCTTGCGAGTGTGTGTGCGTTTGTGAACAGGGGACATGGATTGCAAGGAGTGGCCCTATAGGTGGTTACAGAGTTGGTGGCTGCAGCATGAGGCTGAGTCAAGGCTTCTCTCTGTCTGTGTGGCTGTCTGACTGTGTGGCTATCTGACTGTGTGGCTATCTGACTGTGTGGCTATCTGACTGTGTGGCTATCTGACTGTGTGGCTATCTGACTGTGTGGCTGTGTGTGCACTGAGCAGGGGACATGGAGTACAAGGATAGGCCGGATTTACCCCCAGAGAAGCAGGCGGTCACTGCGCTGCCAGAAGTCAAGTCGGTGAGCCCCCCCTCCTCATGATCTTCCACTGCAATCGCACAAGCTGACTTTTGTGTAATGAGTCGATTTTTGAGTCGACTAAAAAAATCGACTCATTACACAAGTCGACTCAAAAATCGACTCATTACACAAGTCGACTCAAAAATCGACTCATTACACAAGTCGGTGAGCCCCCCCTCCTCATGATCTTCCACTGCCATCGCACAAGCTGACTTTTGATTCCGCTCAAAAGGTAAGCCCCTGCTACCTCGATTTTGCAGGGTGTTTTTGAGAATTCTCAAAAAGCCCCTGCTACCTCCCTCCACACAAACACCCACTGGAATCACACAAGCTCAAAACAGGCACGGACTACCCCCTGAGCCCCTCAGTGAAGAGTTGATTTCTTTTCAAGCCCCTTTTGTGAAAAGTAGAACCTTTTTTAGCCCCTCTGAGGGGTTGATTTTTGGGGCGCCTGGAAGTCTGACTCCAGACAGAAGCAGCCGCAGACGCAGAAGCTGCTTTGCTAATGAGGCCTCTCTCTCCATCCCCCCCCCCTCTTGTTATCCCTCTCTGTATTCTGCTCTCTCCACATCTGTGAACTCCATATCCCCCTGTTTCTCTGCTGCTTTGGTTTTTTAGGATTCTGAAAAACCAATTCAACCTTTATCCCTCGCTGTATTCTGCTCTCTCCGCATGTGTGAACTCCATATCCCCCTGTTTCTCTGCTGCAGGTGGATTTGACAGACAAAGACGAGTTCGTTGTGCTAGCATGTGATGGCATCTGGTGAGAGCAATGGCATCTGGTGAGAGCAATGGCACCTGGTAAGAGCAATGGCACGTGCACGGAGTCTTCCTGTAGTGACTTTTGAGTCGGCTATTCAAAAGTGATTTCTGAATCGACCAAATAATATTTTGCACCTGTACAGGCGTTCACATATCCACCTACAAGGTGTCATGTCCAGCTAGAGGCTATCGATAGAAGGCGCTTGCAGCCTAATAGACCCGAAAACTGAAACCTCAATGCTTTCTTCCTCCTCCGCACCCACCCGTGGCTGTTTGCAGGGACGTGATGAGCAGTCAAGCCGTGGTCACCTTCGTGCGATCGAGGCTTGCGAAGGAGGTGAGGGCGAGGCAACAGTGTGAGACTGCATATGCTTGGCTTAGGTGTCAGTGAGGCAACACCAGAAGACTGAAAGGTCATTCATTTTGCCAATCTGATGGTGCCTGCCCCTCATCCCCCTCCCTCCTCAACTCCAGGTGCCTCTAACGGACATCTGTGAGCAGCTCATGGATGCTTGCATGGCAAAGGACGCGCACTCATCGCCCCTAGGCCTGGACAACATGACTGTCATCGTCGCCCAGCTCAAACCGGACATGTGGAAATCACCGTCCTAGCCGCCATGTGCATGCCGCCCTCATAGCCTGGTATGGGGCACATACCGGCACCAACCCCTAGGCCTGGACAACATGACTGTCATCATTGCTCAGCTCAAACCCGCCACGTGGAAATAATCCTCCTCCTAGCCTACCAAGCCTTAGATCCAAATCGTCGAAAGGAGATGACGACAAGCGAATAAGCTGAAATGCGTGCCACGTGATTTTTTTCTCGTAGTGTGCTATAATAATCATCCTACTCATGGATGATATATCAGCAGCACTGTCATGGCATGGCATGGATGCTGCTATGCACCTGTAGTGGTGGTATCTAGGTGTGTAGTGCATCACAATAGGATGACTGCTGGCTTGTGCTATGGTACAATGAGACCAAGTGAAGTGAGATGCCTCATTTCCATGGAATGGGAGATTACCCTGCTCTGCAACTTGGTTTTCTTGAGCCGACTCGAAAAACACTGTGATAGTGATTGCCCTGCAGCTTGAATTTGAACATGCTACACAACAGACAATGGTGAAGGCATTGTTTCGTGCCATGCATTAACTGATACACTTTGAATTGTTAGTGTAGATGCTGCTGCGCCTGCAGAATACGCCTGTAGGTACCGTGCCTCCAACCACGGTTGAAAGCCATGTTGGCTGCACACCCACCCTCAAAGTCTACTCCTTGACAACGAGTACCCCCTCAACCCCCACCCTCAACTCAATACCCCCTTGTTGGCGCCTGCAGCTGTCCAAGACCCCTCAACTCAATACTACCGTACCTTCGTAATGCATCTGGTGCCACCAGTCAGCCACCACACTACAGTGATGACATGTTCCAGCAGTCACCCATGGAGCAGTCACCCATGGAGCAATCACCCATGGAGCAATCACCCATGGAGCAATCACCCATGTCACACATGTAACATTGGTGTCACACTTGTGACATGGGTGGGTGTCACACCCCGCTCACACTCGCACGTTGCAAAACAATCCAGTTTGTGTACTCCAAAAGCGGCCACGAGGAAGGTTTCTAACACGCCTCAAAGCCGGCACTGCACACCGGTTCCCGCTCGCGCCACAGCTACCAGTGCTGCACCACAGCTACCAGCGCCGCGCCACAGCTACCAGCGCCGCGCCACAGCTACCAGCGTCGCGCCACAGCTACCAGCGCCGCGCCACAGCTACCAGCGCCGCGCCACAGCTACCAGCGCCGCGCCACAGTTACCAGCGCCGTGCACAGCTACCAGCGCCGCGCCACAGCTACCAGCGCCGTGCCACAGCTACCAGTGCCGCACCACAGCTACCAGCGCCGCACCACAGCTACCAGCGCCGCGCTACACTACACTGCACCATGCTCTTGCCTCCCTCTCAGCTCTTCTTCGATTAGTCGCCGCCGAACTTGTGGCGAAAGAATGGAAGGAGCGCTTCTGACTCAGAAGCTCTGAGCCCCTCAGAAGCTCTGAGCCCCTCAGAAGCTCTGAGCCCCTCAGAAGCTCTATGTTACACTGCGCCATGAGGCATGCCCATGCGATGGATGGTGCAATTCTCGTACCGGAAGCAGGACAGGAAGCTCAGGGAGATGAGGACAATTAGGGTGCAGGGTCGACCCAAAAGCACACCCGTCACCGTCCCTCACGTGATGGTCCAGTTCTTGTACCGGAAATACGCGAGGAAGCTGAGGAATATGAGAACACCGCCGACGCCCGAGTCGATGAGGATCCACTTGAGCGCGTAGGGCGCCTCCTCCAGCCCCAGCGGCACGTTCATCCCGAATGTGCCGGCTATCACCCCCCATAGCGCCACCACAAACCCTGTGAAAGGGGATAGGAGGAGCAGACGCACGGCAAGGAACACGTGGAAGATGACGGTGGGAATCACCCCCGAGTCGATGAGGATCCACTTGAGCGTGCAGGGCGCCTCTTCCAGCCCCAGAGGCACGTTCATCCCGAACGTGCCGGCGATCACCCCCCATAGCACCACCACGAACGCTGCAATGGGGATGGGGTCCGGACACACAGACAGGTCAGCGTTGACAGAGGCACGTTCATCAAACAAACGGCAAGGTCAACCCATCATACTTGAACACCAGCAGGAGGCACTCTAACCAGCAGTAGGCACTCTAACCAGCAGGACGCACTCTAACCAGCAGGAGGCACTCCAACCAGCAGGAGGCACTCTAACCAGCAGGAGGCACTCTAACCAGCAGGAGGCACTCTAACCAGCAGGAGGCACTCTAACCAGCAGGAGGCACTCTAACCAGCAGTAGGCACTCTAACCGGCAGTAGGCACTCTAACCGGCAGGAGGCACCAGTGTTGACAAAAACGCTTTTGTGAGTTTGCGCTTTGCGTTTAAACGCAATCGTTTAAACGCAATACGCAAAAACGTGTCAAAATGCTCGAACGCACCTTGAATTTTTTCGGGCAGACCGGAACAAAAAAACGCACAAAAAAACCCGCAAAGTCGCGAGTCGAAAACACTTTTCGCCGCGCATCGCGAAACGACAACACGTTTCGCGCGTCGCAAATTCGTCGTCGTGCAGTCGCGAAACTTTTCATAGCGACATGAAAACTCGTTAATCCCTCCTTCCCTCTTCCCAATTTTGTTGAAAATCCCGAACCATTCCCCCCTGCTTGATCCAGATCTATCTGTAGAGGAGATCTTCGCTCACCTCACATGCACTGACGATCTAGTACTCTTACGTTCTTCCTTCCAGCACCTAAGCTACCAGACTTCCAGCCCCTAGCATGGCGTCCGCTGCCCGGGCTAAATTTTCCGCCTGCCCGGGAAGGCGTTTTCCGAGCGTATTTGAAGCCTGGAATCCTGCGTTTTGCGTCCTGAACGCTTGCGTTCAGAACGAAACGCGGAAACGCGTTTATGCCATCATAGGGAGGCACTCTAACCAGCAGGAGGCACTCTAACCAGCAGGAGGCACTCTAACCAGCAGTAGGCACTCTAACCAGCAGTAGGCACTCTAACCGGCAGGAGGCACTCTAACAAGCAGGAGGCACTCTTACCAGCAGGAGGCACTCTAACCAGCAGGAGGCACTCTAACCGGCAGGAGGCACTCTAACCAGCAGGAGGCACTCTAACCAGCAGGAGGCACTCTAACCAGCAGGAGGCACTCTAACCGGCAGGAGGCACTCTAACCAGCAGTAGGCACTCTAACCAGCAGGAGGCACTCTAACCAGCAGGAGGCACTCTAACCAGCAGTGGCCATGATGAGCTCAAAACGGTTTGAACCAGTTCCGCATGTATCCACCTGTGTCGTCCGCGAGGCACGTTATTCCGCACGATATTGAAAAAACCCTCCGTGTCATCGATGTAATGCAACCGCTGGGTAAGCTTCTTCAGTGTACTCAAGGTGTGCAACTCAACACCATCAAAACTCCAACAGAAACCACGTCTCAAGGTACCCCTCAACACACACTCAACACGACCACCACACCTAAAGACCAGAAGGAGGCGCACTCACCCCCGGCAGTCATAATGAGCTCGAACTGGATCAGCTGGTTGAGAACATTGCCCAGCTGGATGTTGGCACTCATGGGAACACAGAAAGACAGTACCACAGAGAGGGGCACGCCGCACACTCACCAGCGGTGGTCATAATGAGCTCGAATTGAATCAGCTGGTTGCGAACATGGCATTCAATTCGAGCTCATTATGACCACCGCTGGCCCAAATGGATGCTAATGGCATCCTCTGAGTCGTCGATGTACTGCGACAGCTGGGTGAGCTAGTTGCGTGTGCCGCCAATGTACGGTGGAGTCATCTTTTAGAATTCTAAAAAATATGCCTCCATCAATGTACCAACAAACACACTCAACTCAACACCACCACCATACCTCAATACCAGAGACGGCCGCACTTACCAGCGGTGGTCATAATGAGCTCAAACTGAATCAGCTGGTTGCGAACATTGTCCAGCTGAATGTTAATAAAGTCCTCCGTGTCGTCGATGTACTGCGACAGCTGAGTCAGCTTGTTGAGCGTGCCGTCGATGACCACAAAGTAGGCCTCCAGAAGCATCTCCAATTCCTCTACATTCTCCACGCTGGTGGCCGTGCTGTCACTCGCACTGTGCGCGCCGCTCCAGAAGCTGATGGAGGGGGCTGGGGCCAATCCCGAGGGCCTACCATCCAAGAAATGACCTCCCTGGAGGGGTGGGCAGGGACGAAGGGGAAGGGAGACACGGGAAGGAGCGGGTGAGAAGTCTGAAGTCGGTGCGTGCAATGCAAGCAAGTGCTGCCGTCGATCACCACAGGGTAGGCCTCCAGGAGCATCTCCAGCTCCTCCACATTCTCAATGCTCGTGGCCGTGCTGTCACTCGCACTGTGCGCGCCGCTCCGGAAGCTGATGGAGGGGGCTGGGGCCAGCCCCGATGGCCTCCCATCCAGGTAATGCCCACCCTGGACATGGTCTTGGGGGGGATTAGTTTTGAGGCGCCTCAAAACTAGACTCTTATCACGCCATCTTTTTTTGAGGCGCCTCAAAACTAGACTCTTATCATGCCATCTTGGTAATGCCCTCCCTGGACATGTTCTTGGGGGGGATTCATGATGAGAAAGGAGAAATTGCATTGGGGGAAGTGATAGAAGGCCCCTTGCGGTACTGTCACTTGCACTGTGAGGCGCGCTCCAGTAGCTGATGGAGGAAGGTGGGGCTCACCCCGAGGGGCTACCGCCGAATCTCAGGGAGGTTGGAACAGTGGTTGAAATGGAGACTGAAACGGGGGAGTGAGCCAAACCCCCGGGAGGCTTAAGAACTCCCCTTGGACATGCGAGATCGCAAGTGATTGCGCTCTATCGTACTATTGAGACTTCTGGGAAAAAGAAAAGAGAGAAAAAAGAAAGGAGCCTCCCGTCTTCGATTCCCCTGGGTGTGTGAGAGCACAAGTGGTTGCTGGCGTCAAAGGAAACGTTTGAGAATTCTGCAAAAGAAGAAAATAAAATCTCTCATACTCTCGTCCCATGTCTCTCTGACCCCGCTACCACTCTTACATGCTTGGTGGGCGAGCCAGCAGGCGAGACAGGAGCGGAGATGGACGACCCAAACCCCCCCAGCGACTCCCTAGGCGTGTGCGAGTGGTCGCTGCCATCGTCACGGTGCGGCCCTCTCTCGCTCTCACTCCTCTCCTCCGCAAGCAGGCGCTTCTGGGTGAGGTACATCTCCGCCATGTCCCCATCGTCATCCATCAATTGTTCGATCTCATCCCGCACCTGGGGGTAACACGGGGGAGGGGGGGGGAGTGGGGGAAGTGGGGAGAGAGGGGTTGACTCTCCTCCGCTAGCAGGCGCTTCTGGGTGAGGTACATCTCGGCCATGTCGCCGTCGTCGTCCATCAGCTGCTCTATCTCGTCCCGCACCTGGTGGTGGTTAGGGGGTGTGGTGTGGTGCGGGGGGAGGTAGGAGGGTATGGCACAAGGCACGGGACACGAGGCACAAGGCACGAGGCACGAGGCACAAGGCACGAGGCACGAGGCACGAGGCACGAGGCGCAAGGCACTTCAGACAGCGCTTCTGGGTGAGATACATCTCTGCCATGTCGCCATCGTCGTCCATCAGCTGCTCAACCTCGTCCCGCACCTGGGGGTTTTAGTGGGGAGGGAAGGGGAGTGGAGGGAGAGGGGTTGAGTCACTTCTGCCAGCAGGCGCTTCTGGGTGAGGTACATCTCCACCATGCCACCATCGTCGTCCATCAACAGCTCTATCGCATCACGAACCTAGGGGTCAGACGGGTCATGGGGAAATGTAGGAGGGCATGGCACACACAGGGCACAGGAGGGAGGCACACTGCACAGAGGGTACCTTCTGGAGGAGGGGGTACCTTCTGGAGGAGGGGGTACCTTCTGGAGGAGGGGGTACCTTCTGGAGGAGGGGGTACCTTCTGGAGGAGGGGGTATCTTCTGGAGGAGGGGGTACCTTCTGGAGGAGGGGGTACCTTCTGGAGGAGGGGGTGCCTTCTGGAGGAGGGGGTGAGGGCGGTACCTTCTGCACACGCCAGGTGAGGCCGAGGAGGGAGCTCTTGATTCGCTGCACGAGCTCGAGGTTCGTGGCGTTCCAGCAGCGGGTACGCCTCCTGGGCGAGCTCCTGCGGTCCAGGCTTTGACCAGGAATGGAGTTATAGGGCTTACCTTTTGCACGCGCCGGGTGAGGCCGAGGAGGGAGCTCTTGATTCTTCGCACCAGCTCCAGATTCGTGGTGCTGATCTGAAACGCCAGGCGCTCCAATAGCGGGTACGCCTCCTGGGCGAGCTCCTGCGCCTGGCGGTCCAGCCCCGAGCACGAGAGCTCGAGAGCGAGCTCCAGCGCCTTGAACTCAAACGGCAGATCGTCCTCCTCCGCTGTGGACCCAGACCCGCTGAACATGTCCTCGCTGCTGATCTCGCGCCTGGGAACAGCGGCCAAGGGGGAGAGAGGGGGGGGTGTGAAAAAGAGGAGTGAACTGAAAGAATAGACTCCTCCTCTGCTGTGCTGCCAGACCCACTGAACGTATCCTCCTCGCTGCTGATCTCGCACCTGGTAGGTGAGAGGGAAGCGAGGGAAGCGAGGGGAAGGGAGGAGATTCAACAAGGCCTGTACAGCATCGGTAGTGAGTAAGCACCATCCTCCACTGCACAGCAAACAGTGGATGGATGGATGGATGGATGGATGGATGGATGCATGGATGGATGGATGGATGGATGGATGGATGGATGGATGGATGGATGGATGGATGGATGGATGGATGGATGGATGGATGGATGGATGGATGGATGGATGGATGGATGGATGGATGGATGGATGGATGGATGGATGGATGATGAGGCATGGCATTAGGTTAGGACATGCCATTTTGAGACGTCTCAAAACGAATCACCCCACCACCTCATCTTTGATGGGGAGGATGGGGCGTGAACTTATGGCATGGCACAGCGCTTACCAGTGCTTACCTCTGAATGCTGGCATCCGGAGCGTCAAGAGAGAAGCCGTTCTCGCCTGGTCTCTCGGTCCTGAGACACACCACAGGGGAGGATGGACGAATACGGGGGAGTGGTAGGAGTGGGATGAGTGTGTGGGGGTTGATGGGGTTCGTCGAGTGTGGAGTGGGAGGAATGTGGGGGGGGTTGGTGAGGAGCAAGGAAGGAAAAGCAAGCAAGCAGCGTTAGGTGGGAGGAGCATACGAGAAAAGAGAGGTACGATCTCGATCTCGATCTCGATCTCGATTGAGATGGCATTGCTTCTGCCTGGCACCAGATCTCGTTTCTGACTCATGTGACCTGTGGGCACGGCGATTTCAGACTCCCCTCACCTGCCCTTTTACACCCTCTCCCTCCCTTTCCTCACCTCCATGCCACTCTGAAGTCCGAGACAACAGCCAAAAGCTATCTCTAAGGCAACAACACATCTCTCCTCTCTTCTCCTCACCCTCATTCCAATCACTCCCCTCATTCCATGCCACTCTGAAGTCTGAGGGGGCAGCCATGCCGAATCTCTAACGCAAGCACAGCACCCTCCCCTCACCTCCATTCCTGGTCTCCCCCCTCACCTCCATGCCACTCTGAAGTCTGAGGGGGCAGCCATGCCCAGCAGTAGCCGCCGCTGCAGGGCCTGCTTGAACTGGGGGCCGGGGGGGGTGGGGGAGGAGGAGGTGGGGATGTCGAAAGGGCGACGAAAGGGTAAGGCGGGAGCAAAGGGAGCAGCCACGCCTAGCAGTAACCACCGCTGCAGGTTTCATGCTTGATACTTGCGGTTGCAGACATACTTCACCCCTACACACGGCACCTGCTATAAGTTTTGTTTTGAGACGTCTCAATACACACGGTACCTGCTGCACGGCTAGATCCGTGACGTTCTATATTTGCACCTCGTCCGCCGTGATGAAGCAGCGGACGAGGTGCTCCTATTGGCATCCACTCCAGATTCACATTCACCGCCACGGCTGGCGCTAGGTATCCCCAGGCTCACCCCCACAGCCTCAGATGTTCCAAACACAGCGCAACCCAGAGGAGAGTGCGATCCTACCGGCCGGCTGCATGGCCGGGTCAGTAACATCCAGCAGGAGCACCTCGTCCACCGTGATGATGCAGCGGATGCTCTCGAGGCTCACACTCACCACCGTGGCGCGTGTTTGGTGCCTCCTGAATCACTCCTACAGGCTACAGTCTGCTGATCCATATGCTGCCCATAGCTGGATGGTACCTGCTGCACTGCCGGGTCTGTGACGTTCAGCAGGAGCACCTCGTCCGCGGTGATGATGCAGCGGATGCTCTCGAGGTTCACCACCATGGCGCGCTCTCGCCCCAGGATGGTGGACGGGTACACGAACACAGGGTCAAGCAGACGCAGGTCTCGACCGGGCAGGTCGCATCTGATGGTGGGGCAAGAGGGGAGGGGGGCTAGATAGGTTACAGCAGTGAATTCGGGGCTTCGTGTCAGTCAGGTCTTCCTCGCCCCAGGATGGGAGTCTATTTTTGAGGCGCCTCAAAAATGGACTCCTCGCCCCAGGATGGTGGAGGTGGACGGGTACACGAACACAGGGTCCAGCAGACGCCGATCTCCACCAGACAGGTCGCATCTGATGGTGGGGCAGAGAGGAGGGAGAGGGTGGAAGGGGAATGAGCAATGGGTGGAGAAGGCGGAGAGGGCTGTGCGGAGGGAAGGAGGGAGAGCGAAGGGCGAGGGGTAGAACATGGAAAGGTCTGCTCGAGGTGCGCCCGTCAAAGAAACGGGCGCGTGCTCGAACCCATTTTTTCCGTCTCCCTCCCTCGCCGCCTCATCAGCGTGCCTTCATCCCTAACCCACCGTCTCCTGAGCGTGCCTCACTCCACCCCTTATCCACCTCCAGAAGACTCCCTTCCCCCCAGCAGGTCAATCCTAATCCACGCACACGTGCTCAAACCCATCCTCCCTTTCCCCGCCCTCGCTGTCCCATCAGCGCGCTAGCCCTTCCTCCTCATCGTCGCATGAGCGTGCCCTTATTCCTCCCTCGCCTTATTCCTCCCTCGCCTTATTCCTCCCTCGCCTTATTCCTCCCTCGCCTTATTCCTCCCTCGCCTTATTCCTCCCTCGCCTTATTCCTCCCTCACCGTCGCATGAGCGTGCCCTTGTCCACTTCCAGGATGCTCACTTCCCCCGACGGGTCAATCCGAATCCACGACCGCACGCCCTGCCCGCGCTTCTTCTTCGCCCCCACAGGCAGGGGAGGCGCACCCGCCGCTCCGCCAAACCCTCCGCCGAACCCTCCCCCTCCCCCAGCCCCTCCGCCTCCGCCTCCCCGCACGCCGTTGGCGGTCGCGCCCGTTCCCCCCGAAGCGATGGAGCCGGACGCGGAGGATGCGGATCCTAGGTCCCTACTGGCGCCAGCGCCCGTGAAATGCGGCGTGAGTAGCGGCGAGAGGTGAGGGGACAATGGGGGGGCAGAGGCCGGCGGAGCAGCTGGGGGTTTTCCGCCTAGGCGGAAGTGGGATTGCGGGGGTCCCGGGAGATTTGGGAGAGCGGCGGAAAGTCCGCTGGACACGGGGGGTTGCGGGGAGATGACTGGAGGGACGGGCGGTCTCCGGGGGGGTAGCAACGGCTTCTTTAATTCTGGCTTTAACTCTGCCATGTTGCCTGATGGTATCAAGTGTGGTACGGAACAGAATCACCTAACTAGTTCGCGGAATTTCGGCGATTAAATTCCAGCCAGACTAACGGCTGCTGCTACGACACCGTGTCATTCGACAACGTCGTCAACAATACCGCTAAGAATCGGCATGACAAAGCCTCGCTACATGGTGAACTAAGAGCTTATTAGATAGAATCTAGTGGAAGTTATTTTCTCTCAAACGCAGCTGTAACAGTGCTGCTGCGCAGCAAAGCTCCGTCCAGTTGAGCGAAGATTTCTAGTCCTCTACTATAGTCTCGAGATTGACGCGCAACTAAGATGAAATTATGGAACTGCGCTTCTATATTTAGGACACTGCGCTTCTTGAAGGACTAAAACTTCGAACTGTATGTGACTAGGGACTATGGGAGCTTAGGGAGCGGCGTGGTAACAAGGTCGCGACAGCCCAGATTTCGCTTAGGGGAGGTGACGTGTGACTGCCCCCCACCCGTGGGTTGTAGTGAGTGAGGAGTAGCTGACCAATCAACGAGAACACACCTCCAAGTTTTATCCCAATGGGAGGGGGTGTTATCTTGACAGGTGAAAAGCTCGGGCACCTAGAAAGGACTCCCGGCCCCACCCAATTGGCCATCGATTTTCCCTGCTTGCGAATGACCGTGCAAGTCTGCCTCGGTCAGCTTGAAAAGAGAGCGCCGCCAGACCAAACTACTGCTGTGCTGACGCTGCAACAACGTCAACACTCGTCAGCGAATCGCGCAACTCTGTCCGGTCAAGCGGCCCAACCAGCACCAAGAAACCATCCGCGATAAGGCAAGAATCGGTCGAAAAACTTGGGCATTGCATATGAGAGAATCATCCATTTTAAAACCCCCACTTTCTTGCACCTCAACCAAACATTCTCGCATATGCAGCCTTCTCCTTTTCCTTTCTTGTTGCCAGCTGCACACACAAAAAAAAAAAACTCCCAAACGTGAGTTGCCAGGCCAATTTGCAATATCAAGCTCTCTAGTTTGTCCTCACTCACCTTCTTTTTTGCTGCTGCCAACTCCCTCTTGATTCCACCTACACACAACAACAGGATGCTCAACAAGTGTTACGAGTAACAGATTGGTGGAAAATGTGGGATCTTATTGTCAACAGGCCCTAGCAGACAATGGTAATCCACGTAGCAACATCCCACAATGGTGAATTCTCAACCCAACATACCATCATTGGGTTCAGCCTTGAGCGCTTGAGTCAGGTCAGCAATTGCCGGTTCCAACTCGTTGCGCCCCAAATACGCCTGCCAAGCCACGGCAACAACGCAGGAATCAGCAGGATAGGGCGCAAGAATGGCACATGGGTTTAAGAAACAATTGAAGCAGCATCAGAAAACCCGAGGGTACCTGGGTAGCAGAGGAGTCGCTTACTGAGAGAATCACGTCCCTGTACTCACCTGTAGGAATCAGGAGCGAAGGACACCGCATACCTGTGCTCGCTGAAAACAATCCTGAGCTAGAGACACCACATACGTACACAGCTCGCCTAAAGGAATCGGGTCGGGCGCTAAGGACAGTGCTCACCTGTGCTCGGCGAAACAGCGCCTTGGCATTGTTCTCGTTTCTCGACAGCACGGAGGTGGAGTCCTCAATTGCGCCATCAAAGTCACCGCGCTTCAGCTTGCACGCCTGTGGGAGGATGCAGAAGATCAGAGGACGATGGAAGGTCCATGGAAAATAAGCAAGCTGGACAGAAGGGGGGGGAAACGATCTCCTTTGGAAAGAACAACTTGACACACAGCGCAGCCTGACACTCGACACTGCTTCACATCGTCACAGCCCCTCACACACCACAGCCCCTCACACCGTCGACGCTCCTCACACCGACACAGCCCCCCACACACCACAGCCCCTCACCGCATAGTTGTTGAGAAGGGCCTCCCGGATGGAGTGAAGCTCCTCTAGGGTCTCTGGTGGCGCGGGGAGAAAACGTGGAAGAAGAAAAGTTAGAAGAAAGAAAGAATGAAGATGGGGGAAAGGGGGGGGAAGAAGGACGGCAAGCCAGAGTGGGACCCTCCAACCTCCTGGGTTGTCCTTCATGTCCTACGCCCCATCCAAATACACCATGGCGTTGCTGCTGAGAGGCATACAGCCGCATCGGCACAGGAGGGCCATAACACGCCCCCCAAGCCACAAGCTTACCTCCTGGGATGTCCTTCATGTCCCACGCCTTGTCCAAATACACCATGGCCTTGCGGTACCGGCGAAATGCCATGTGGTAGTCTCCGTTCTGGGGAGAGGGTGCATGCGTCAGAGGCCACATGGGAGAAGATATGCCGAAAATAATAAATTTAACACGCACAGCCCTTATTCAAAACACTCCAAACTTGAAGAAGGTTGGCTTATTAAATTGCTTTTAGTGCTTCGCCCTCACTCACCTTGAAGTGTTTTGTCCCCAGGTCCTTAATAGACTTGACTGCCTCCAGCCACCACTGCCACTCTGTGGGCCTGTCGTCCAAATCACTTGGCCAGTCCGGGTACATGTCTCCATCCTGCCACGGACGGGTCACGGGGGGGATAAGAGCCATTTCATTCACAAGATGCTGCTCGACACGCCTCATACATCGGAACACTCGGATGCGATGCCTGCTGTGACGGTTTAAGGGGCTGCTTGAGACGCCTCATACATCGGATCATTCGGCCAGTCTGGGTACTTGTTGCCATTTTTATCTTAAGGGCTGCTGTGTGCAATGAGTCGATTTTTGAGTTAACTCAAAAATCTTAGGGGCTGCTCACCAGACACAGACACAGAAGAAAGAAGCACATCAGGCTGATGGGCCCATCAGGCCCATCAGCCCATTAGGGCACTGGTGAAACACAAGGAACCTCGGAGCACACTGCAGGTGATGTGTTGAGGACATACCACCATCCTTCCCCAACCCCAACCCAAGTACTTGCTTCCCCCGCTCACCAGACGGTTCATGGTGCCGTCATCCCCCCCTCGGCCAGCTCGCCTGCACCACACTGCTAAAGCCAACTGAATCACCCGCCTGCAAATTAACCCCCTCACCAGTATTTCCACCACCTCCCCCTCCCCCCCTTCCTTCTTTGCAGGGTGGTTCATGATGCCGTCATCCTCCCCCTCCACCATCTCCCCTGCACTGTACCACCCGGCTAAAGCCACCAACCCACCATGCCTGAGTGCTGTTAAATATTCCCCACCAGCGTGCTTCTGACCCCACATGTGTACTAGTCCCACTCACTGGGTGGTTCATGGTGCCATCATCCTCCCCCTCCCCCTCTCCCCTCCCCCCTCCTCCCTCCCCACTCCCCACTCCCCACTCCCCACTCCCCCTCATCCCCCCTTACAGGGTGGTTCATGGTGCCATCATCCTCCCCCTCTGCCAGCTCGCCGCAGTCGTCGATGATGACGTCACTCAACGGACGATCTGAGCCGTCGGTGGGCGTGATCTCCACTGCTCGAAGCACCTGGAGCATCGGAAAAGGAAATGGAAACACATATATTGCTGATCGGCCTGGGTAGTAAAAGGCAGTTTCACTGCACCCAATCACAAGCAAGCACAGGCAAAGCGAGCACAAAGTGCAAGCAGGCAAGCAAGCACAAAGTGCAAGCAGGCAAGCAAGCACAAAGTGCAAGCAGGCAAGCAAGCACAAAGTGCAAGCAGGCAAGCAAGCACAAAGTGCAAGCAGGCAAGCAAGCACAAAGTGCAAGCAGGCAAGCAAGCACAAAGTGCAAGCAGGCAAGCAAGCACAAAGTGCAAGCAGGCAAGCAAGCACGCGATGACTAAAGCGCACTGCCTTACTCACGCGGCCAAACACGCAGTGCTTGCTGTCCAGGTGCAGTGTGAGGCCAAAGGTGGCGAACAACTGAGAAGTAGTGCTTCTTCGCACAAGGATACAGTGCACCAATCCCATCATATCTCACCTGCCCTCCTCTCAGCACGCGGCCAAACACGCAGTGCTTGCCGTCCAGGTGCGGCGTGGGGCCGAAGGTGATGAAAAACTGGCTGCCGTTGGTGCCGGGGCCGCTGTTAGCCATGGATAGCAGCCCGCGCTTGTCATGCTGTGATGTGATTACAGGGGGAGGGGGGGAGGGGGGGTGTGGAGGGAGGGCGAGAAGAGAAGGGGGGTACGAAATAGAACTGGCTGCCGTTGGTGCTGCGGCCGCTGTTAGCCATGGATAGCAGCCCGCGCTTGTCATGCTGTGCTGTGCGCGGGGCACCGGGGGGGGGGGGGAAGGGGAGAAATGAGGGGAAGGGGAAGAGGGGGAGTAGGAGAGGAAGATGAAGAGGTGGGTGGGGACCGCTATTGGCCATGGATAGGCCAATTATGGTATGGGGCGATGATGGGTGGAAGACAAGGGAAACGAATCTATCAGTGATGAATTCTACATGAATTCTACATTGTCTCACTAAAACGAGAACCATTCAGGCTAGGGTGTGAAATAACGTAAGATCCGGCCCGGCCTCGCCATGCTCGCTGCGCGCAGACACTACAGCGTCAAGAATCCCTTATGGGCATGGCATGCCACGACACGGCATGGCATGCAACGTCACGGCATGGCATGTCACGGAAGCATCATACCTTGAGGGCCAGGCCCCCGGCCTCGTCCTCGAACTTCTCCCCGTAAATAGATTCCCCTCCCGTGCCGTTCTTCTGGGAGAAGTCTCCCCCCTGCATCATGAAGCCCTTGATCACACGGTGGACGGGACACCCCTGGATCGAGAATGGGGGGAGGGGAGGGAGATGTCTGATCTTTAAACATTTTCCCTTGAATCGACTCCCCTCCCGTGCCGTTCCTCTAAGACGAGTCCCCCCCTGCATCATGAAGCCCTTGATCACACGGTGGAAGGGATAGCGCTGGGATGGAGAATGAAAGAAGGGGAGAGGGGGAGACGAGCTGAGGAGTCCTCGCCCGCGTCATAACGGTCCTGCCTCGCCTTGATGTCGCGGTGGAAGGGACAGCCCTGGGATCGTTTTGAAGGGGAGGGGACCGCATGAAATGACGGGAGATTTTGAGTGAAGTGAGACGCTCTCGCCACTCTCACACGGCTCGGAAACAAAATTACGGGGCAACGAGATAAAGTCTTCGTGAAATATCTTTAGTAGACGTCATTATGCAAAGGTGAGACACAATACAGCTGAAGAGAAGGGAATCCAAATAAGATGCCTCTCGGACTTATATCATGCAACGGAAAGTCAACCATACCTTGAAGTGAAGCGGCAACCCGGTGTTTTCTCCGACGCCTTTCTCCCCAGTGCACAGCGCGCGGAAGTTCTCCACCGTCTTCGGCGCCGCTTCTTTGAACAGCTCCATCACGATCCGACCCTCGGGCTCGCCGCCGAGCGACACGTCGAAGTACACCCGCGGATTCGCCATGGTTGCGGGATTGTTATGAACGAAACGAGACGCACAACAACCGACGAATAATGAATGGCAAATTCACCTAGTATGGGAATCTATTGCGGCGCTACGCAGATCTAGTAGCCCTCAGCGGAGCTGGGAATGACAGACTCCAGCCGGAGATCAGTGACACCAACTGGAGCTCAGGAGTCTCGCCTGACAGGAAGGCTGATGAATTTTATGGCTGGATCAAGTAGTGGTGATCATACGGGGATAGGCAGTTTCCTTGAATTAGAGCAAATATCCGCAACTGTCCCGAAAATTATTCGGGAATGTCAAGTTTGACAGATAACCGCAGCTTCTAATCCAGTTTGACAAATTATTCGGGAATGGCCCAGAGTGTCCCCGCTTCCACTCAAACACGACAGATCCAAAATCTCAGTAAATTTTTATACAGTGCGGAAGTGTGGAAAAGGGTTTCCTGCCTAGAATTTGTAGCATGTCAGGGGCACACCACATCAAAAGAAACTCATGGTTCGAGAAGCTTCACGAGGACGCTAAACCAACAGAAGAGGCGAAGAAGATGTCTCAAGCGAAGACACGGTAACCATCACAGAAACTCTCGGCAGGCTTCGTGGATCGCACAGACCTTGCACTTGTCAGACAGCAGAACTGATATGTGCATTTCCAGCTGAAAGAATGGCCTAGGGGGGAAAACTGCTCTGATCTGATAGTAGCGTACGCTGTTCTAATGGCAACGTAGGTCTTGCATACACCTACGAGGACCAAATATCATCGCGTTAGTTCCTCTCAGATCTCGACTGTAACCATTCCCCGCCTCCCGTCTCCAGTGAAAGATGGTATCGCGCTTGAGCCCGTCTGTCGGCACCGCTCTGGACCCATCTCCTCTGTACACGTCGGTCCGTCCTTCAGCTCGCATAGTCATCAGCAGCACAGGTTGTTTTCACAGCAAGCTCTGTGATTTCAAGTCGAACACGTCATCGAATTCACTCGCGGCTTCACGCGCAGATACCCCAGTCACAGCCACACCAGCAAGTGCTAGTTGCCTTTCGTATCAGATTAAGTTTCTGTCAGAAGGAGGCCTACTAGCAGCAGGCTCGAGAACATATTATAGGCGGTGCTGCCTGTCGGGCTCGCGTATCAGGGAAGGCCAACAAAGAATGGCGGGTTCTATTCGACCAGCGGCTAGATCTGCCGCAGGGGTGAGCCATGAAGCCGAGGAGGAACAAGCCGACGGGTCGGAAGTCATATTCTACACGCACGGCTTGTGTCCGTACGCGCAGCGAGTGGCGCTGACGCTCGAGGAGAAGGGTACGAGGCACGTCCCTCCCTGCACGTCTCTCCAGTTTCGCCATGATACGCCCCTTGTATGCGTTTCCCATTCTGGCAACATTCTTGCTGATTTTGAGGCGCCTCAAAAACAGACGAGGCACGTCCCTCCCTGCATCTCTCTAGTTTCGTTATTCACCCCTTGTTTGTGATTCCCATTCTAGCAACATTCTTGCCGACTTGACGAGTGCTTCTTCCATCTGTGGTCCAGGCGTGAACTACAAGAGCGAGCACATCGACCTCTCCAACAAGCCGTCATGGTAAGCGTGGTGTGCACCCTACCTTGTTTGTAGTGGACCCCCCTTCCTCTCTTCTCCACCGCCTTGCACCGCCTCACACCGCCTTCCACCGCGCTCATTCTGCCTTCCATCTCTTTATGACTTGTCCTGGATTAATCTTCCCAAGTTTGCGCAAGCCCTGTCCTTCGTCTCAAATCCATCCTTCTATGCCCCAACAGGTACTTCTCGGTGAATCCGCGAGGCCTGGTGCCTGCGGTGGCTGTGAACGGCCAGGTGGTCACAGAGAGCACTGACATCTGCAGGTTCCTGGACCAGAACTTCCCCTCGGGGCCTCTGGTGCCATCAGACGCGGAGAGCAGCACAGCCATGAACAGCCTCATGGGCAAGGCCGACTCCATCATCCATGCTGTGAGTGAGTGGATTCGACACACGCCATCACTCACACCTGAGTCAATGAGCAGGTGTTCATGTAACAGCCTGCTGTGGCGGTGGTGAGCGGCCACGTTTTCACAGAGAGTGGAGACATCTGCAGGTTCTTGAATGACCGCTTTCCCTGAGCGCCTCTGGTGCCGCCAGGAGCCATGAACTGCTGTGAGTACACTTCGGTGCCCTTTTTAGTGCCTTACGTAGTGTAGCCTTCTATTATATTTCGAATGAATACAGTAGGGGCTTCTAGGGGCTTCTCCTCCGTGCCCCTGGTGCCATCCGAGATAGGGAGAAGCAGAGCAGAGCGATGAATGAACCGTCTCATGGGCAAGGCCGACTCAGTCATGCATGCTGTGAGTGAGTTAGCACGCACGCTTTGACAGATGCGCATCTTTATACGACATCTCTCGTGCCTTAACCCTGCCAATCTCACCTCACAGGGCCTCACAATGGTTGCTGGGTCGAATCGCATGTGGGCTATTGACACCAACAGCATCCGCAAAGGAGGGGGGAATGCACGGGCCCAAGCCGAGTGGGGCAGAGCGCTAGACCTTGTGGAAGAGGCTGTTCGCCAATCACAGGGGCCGTTCCTAATGGGTGAAAACCTCTCTCTGGTGCGTCATACCTCAGGTTCTTGAACCGTAAACCCTGTCGGCCTTCCTCCTGGGCTCACTATACACGGAAGGATACTTTTGTAAAGCAAGTTGACACATGTTGCCCCAGACTCCTAGGCTCACCTGCACCCTCTACCCTCAACCCACTACCCTTGAAACTCTTATTTCGCCATGGCAGGTTGATGTGGTGCTGTTCCCCTTCCTTGCTCGCTTCCAATTGGTGGTCGAAGGAATCAGAGGCGAGATTTTCGCTCCTGACCATCCTTTGGTTAGCCAATGGTTGGCTACCATGTGGCAGCGGCCATCTGCACGGCGCACGTTTCCTGACAAGGAGCGGTTTTTGCTGGCTCTCAAGCAGTATGCGAGCCTGGATTACTTTGACTTCCACTCCGCCTCGCTCGAGGACCCAGTTCCTAAGTACTGGGTTTAGGTCAGGGCTGTGCGTCGACTTGGCGCACTGCTACTCTGGAAGATCCAGTTCTTCAGTATTGGGTTTGGTCAGGTCTGTGCGTCAATGCATTGAATCCACTTGTAAAATGCGAGTCCTTTCCAGGGGCTCTGCTGAGATTGGCAGGTTCTAGTCATCCTTGGCGCCCCCTACATGGTTGATCTTCTGCGCTTGGTACATCTGAGCTACCTGCTTGTAACACACACAGTCACACAAGTGCAGGGAAGCAGGCTATTCAGAGAGAGATTGCCAACACACAGGTTGTATGCAGCATACCATAATTCTAGAGAGACACCATCCCAGCCCAATCACCCTCTCACCTGTTCGCTAGAAATTGCCTGCTCCGCACACTAATCTCTCTGGCGCAAGAAGTACACAGCCCACAGTCCACCTCTGTCCCCACTTCCCCCCCTCCTCCTCAACTCACCTGTTCGCTAGAGGTTGCCTGCTCCGCGCTCTTATCATCTCTCAGCCGCAGGAAACGTGGGAAGCGCAAAGCAATCCCTTTTGTCTCATTCACGTGCCCCGCTGCAGCCCGGTGCACGGGACTAATGGACAAATCCGCCGCCCGCACCTCCCACACCTCTGAGGGCTCAAACCACACTTCCACTCCTAACGTCTCCCCGTAGCGATAGTAGGGCTGCGAGCAGGGGACAGAGAGGGGTAGCACGGAGTGAGGAAAGGTGATCTTTGAGTCGACTAAAAAATCAGAGGGGTAACACGGAGTGAGGAAAGGTGATCTTTGAGTCGACTAAAAAATCAGAGGGGTAACACGGAGTGAGGAAAGGTGATCTTTGAGTCGACTAAAAAATCAGAGGGGTAGCACGGAGTGAGGAGTGGGGAGAAGGCAGGAAAGATAGGACGGTTGGAAGCAACAGAGCTGACTCCCAGAGCTTCCCCGTAGCGATAGTAGGGCTCGAAGCAGCGGGCAGAGGCGGGTTGGCAAGGAGTACGGAGTCGGGCGAAGGCAAGGATGTTAGGACGGTTGAGGGATAATGAGGTGACTCGCACCACACTTTCATCCTACCGTTCCCCAGGAGCGATAACAGGGCTGGTGGCAGGGAGCAGGGCTGGTGGCAGGGAGCAGAGGAGTGAGATGTTGGCAGGGAGACGAAAGTGGGTGGCGGGAGGGAGGAAGGGGAGGGCGGGAAAAAGGGGGGGTGGTGCCGCAAGGGCAACTACATCAGCACGTCACTAACTGGCTCGAGATGAAGCACTTCACTCAGACCCTAGTCATCGTAAGCAGCCACTTTTTTGGCACCTAAAAAACAACATGGCTACACGGCTCACAGCACCACACCACACCACACCACACCATGTCACATGACAGCACTCACAGGCGGCTTGTCAATGACTCGCTTTCGCAGCGACGCCGATCGCTCCTCCAGAGCCATGACAGCACAGCACAGCACACACCACACCACAGCACACCACAGCACACCACAGCACACCTCACCACACCACTGCACTCACAGGCGGCTTGTCAATGACTCGCTTGCGCAGCGATGCAGATCGCTCCTCCAGGGCCGCTTCCGAGAAGCCAGTGCCGATCTTGCAGATGGACTGGTACTCCTCGGTGTCGGGGTCATAGCAGGCGAGGAGAAAGGCGCCAAAGACACCTGCGAGGGGGAAGTGAATAAGGGGAGGGAGAGGCATTGTTGAACTGTGAACTTGCAGATGGACTGATACTCCTCGGTGCCATGGTCATCGCAGGCCAGAAGAAAGGCGTCAAGCAAACCTGTGAGGAGGGAGCAAGCGAGATGCACCTGTGGCAATGGACATCTTCCAGCTCCTTCCTGAAACCCATTCCTCCATCACCCCTCCATCATCGCTCCATCCCTCCTCCATCTCCCCTCCATCCCTCCTCCATCTCCCCTCCATCTCCCCTCCATCATCCCTCCATCCCTCCTCCATCTCCCCTTCATCCCTCCTCCATCTCCCCTCCATCTCCCCTCCATCTCCCCTCCATCACCCCAACCCTGCAGCACCTCTCCTCTCACCTGTTCGCTTGCCACGGCCGTGGAAGGCACCAATGGGCACGAGGTCCAAGGAGTCTCCCAGCCTGCGGTGAGGAACGGCGGACAAAGGAGCATGGCGGGTGAAGAGGGGAGTGAGTGAGCTCCCCTCACTTGTGATGTGAGTGAGTGGGAAACGGGGAAAACGAATGGGGACACGTAGTGATGACGCCAGTGAGGTGGAAGAAGGTTGGGAAGCTTGACAGGTCAGAGGAGGGCGCAGGACATGGACCACAGGGAAGAGGCGGGACGACAAGGAGATGGCGGGCGGGGAAGAGAAGAATAGGGAGGAAGAGAGGAGGGCGACGCCGGGCAGCGAGCGAACAGCATTCCGAAACAGGCTAGCGTCTCTTTGGAAAATTATAGATCTCAACAACACTGAAACCTTTCATATAGCCCCGGTCGACACACCCACCCTTCCATGTAGTCCTTCTTGAGCTTGAGCCAGTTGTTGCTCCTCTTGGCCGGCTCGTATGTCGCATCCACATCCAAGGTCTTCACCATTGCGCCCTCGCAGCTGCAGGGGAACGTACAGGCACAGAGAGGAGGCACACAGGCACAGAAACATTTATCAATGGGGAGAACAAGGGAGCATGCGAGCATCCACATGAGAGCCTTGCGGCGCCTCTCAGGATAAAAGGGTTGGGCTTCTGACTGGCTCAGTAAGGCTCCAGCTGACTGGCTCCTCTGCGCCTCTGAGCATCGTCAAAGAAGGACTGCAGCTCCTCCTTACTGGCTGCGATGGACGTGGCGAACTGGAACTCACGTGTTCACCACATAGCTGATACCCCCATAAGGCTAATACCACCACCTGCCATAGCTGGCCGGCATGACCTTCAACTCACCTGTGGTTCACAGCGTCGTCAAAGAGCGCATGGAGGTCCTCCTCTTTGCTGGTTGCAATGGGCGTGGCGAACTAAGGCTCACCCTTGGTGCACTATACCCAAATCCCCCCCCCCGCCGGGGCTCAAAGCATCACCTACCTGTGGTTGACAGCGTCGTCAAAGAACGCTTGCAGCTCCTCCTCTTTATTAGTTGCGATGGACGTTGCGAACTGGAACTCGCCCTTGACGGGCTCGAATGACCCGAGCAGCAGCTGACGGGCAGTGGGGCAATGCAGGAGAGATCTGATTTGAAGTGCCTAAACGCAACACTTGGCTGGCGGTTCCAGATGACCCTTGCTGCGAAAGAAAGATACGAAAGACAATAAGACCAGGAGACGCAAGCGAGAGTCAGGCAGGAGAAGGGAGTGGAGATTTGGGTAGAATCAGTGCTTAAAATTTTGAGGCGCCTCAAAACTAATCAGTGCTTCAAGCGCGCCAGATAAGGGAGATATAGATAGAACTCGCCCTTACTCTCTCCTCTCTCCGTATCAGCGCTTGGCTCACCTCTCTCCGGCGCACGAGCTTCTCTGTCAGCAGCTGCTGGCCGTTGAGGTAGAGCAGGTCGAACGCGAACATGCACACCTGGAGGGGTGGGGGGGTGGTGGGGGGAAGAGGGGGAAATAGGGAAGGAGCATGGGGAGGGAGGCAAAGGGCATGTTAGCAGATGACTCGAGGCTCCGTGAACAGCTGTTGCCCGTTGAGGTAGAGCAGGTCAAACGTGGCCATGCCCACCTGGAGGGAGAGGGGGGGAGTGGGGGGAAGAGGGGGAAATAGGGAAAGTGCATGGGGAGGCAAAGTGCATGTTAGCAGATGACTCGAGACTGTGTGAGCAGCTGTTGCCCGTTGAGGTACAGCAGGTCAAACGCGACCATGCACACCTGGAGGGGGGGGAGGTATCAGGACGGGGAAGAAGGGGAGGAAAGGGGAATAGGGAGGCAAACATTGGGTTATGAGACGCACAACACCCTGTCAGCAGCTGGTGACCGTTTGGGTACAGCTGGCAAAGATGGACGACTCGGGAGGGGAGGGAGAAGGGTAGGGGGGATAGGGGTTGTGAACTCAAGGTGCCCATATATTGCAGCAGGCCGCCCTTTTAGAGCTGGCAGATAGTTTGAGTGTCGCCCTTCAAAGACCACAGCTTTACCCTGCTAACGTGAGCGCATTGATGTGACACTTGAACGCCCACGATGACGCCCTTCCTCGCGCGCCTGCTGAGCACCTGGAAAGGCAATAACCCGAACCGCAGCCCCCTTAAAGACACACGCTTGAATGCCGGCCATTGACCCCGTTACAGTCGCCCACCTGCACTTTAATGTGGCCCATGATGACGCCCTTCCTGGCCCATGATGACGCCCTTCCTGGCCCATGATGACGCCCTTCCTGGCCCATGATGACGCCCTTCCTGGCCCATGATGACGCCCTTCCTGGCCCATGATGACGCCCTTCCTGGCCCATGATGACGCCCTTCCTGGCCCATGATGACGCCCTTCCTGGCCCATGATGACGCCCTTCCTGGCCCATGATGACGCCCTTCCTGGCCCATGATGACGCCCTTCCTGGCCCATGATGACGCCCTTCCTGGCCCATGATGACGCCCTTCCTGGCCCATGATGACGCCCTTCCTGGCCCATGATGACGCCCTTCCTGGCCCATGATGACGCCCTTCCTGGCCCATGATGACGCCCTTCCTGGCCCATGATGACGCCCTTCCTGGCCCATGATGACGCCCTTCCTGGCCCATGATGACGCCCTTCCTGGCCCATGATGACGCCCTTCCTGGCCCATGATGACGCCCTTCCTGGCCCATGATGACGCCCTTCCTGGCCCATGATGACGCCCTTCCTGGCCCATGATGACGCCCTTCCTGGCCCATGATGACGCCCTTCCTGGCCCATGATGACGCCCTTCCTGGCCCATGATGACGCCCTTCCTGGCCCATGATGACGCCCTTCCTGGCCCATGATGACGCCCTTCCTGGCCCATGATGACGCCCTTCCTGGCCCATGATGACGCCCTTCCTGGCCCATGATGACGCCCTTCCTGGCCCATGATGACGCCCTTCCTGGCCCATGATGACGCCCTTCCTGGCCCATGATGACGCCCTTCCTGGCCCATGATGACGCCCTTCCTGGCCCATGATGACGCCCTTCCTGGCCCATGATGACGCCCTTCCTGGCCCATGATGACGCCCTTCCTGGCCCATGATGACGCCCTTCCTGGCCCATGATGACGCCCTTCCTGCCCATGATGACGCCCTTCCTGGCCCATGATGACGCCCTTCCTGGCCCATGATGACGCCCTTCCTGGCCCATGATGACGCCCTTCCTGGCCCATGATGACGCCCTTCCTGGCCCATGATGACGCCCTTCCTGGCCCATGATGACGCCCTTCCTGGCCCACGTGCTGAGCACCTGGAAGGGCAACAACCCCCAGTAGCCCTTTTTGAGGCGCCTCAAAAAACAACCCCCAGTAGCCCATAGTCAAAGCTACAACGCCACCCACAGTATCTCCCCTTCCCTTCACAACGACTCACCTGCACTTTAATGTCGCCCATGATCACGCCTTTCCTCGCGCGCGTGCTGAGCACCTGGAAGGGCAGGATCTTGTCACTTTCCCTGTCGTACGCCACTGCCTCTGCATCCAGCACAAAGGTCTTCACGTGGGCCTTCTTGTGCCTGGGAGGGGGGAGTGTGAGAGGAGACAAACAGGGGATAGGTGTTAGAGGCGCCTCAAAGCAGAATTTTGTCACTCTCCCAGTCAAATGCCACTGCCTCTACGTCCAACAAAAAGGTCTGCACGTGGACCTTCTTGTGCCTGAGAGGAAAAACGCAGGTGGGGAGGGGGGGGGGGAGGGAGAGGGGGCAGGAGAAGGAAGGCGGGAAGAGCCGGAGGGACAGTAATCTCAGGTGCCTCAAAGCAGAGTTTGTCACTCTCCCGGTCAAATGCCACTGCCTCAGCGTCCGACACAAAGGTCTTCACATGGGTCTTCTTGTGCCAGAGAGGAGAGAGGTGATGGGGGGCGAGAGGAGAACAGGGGATTGGCGAGGGGCGGAGGCAAGGGAGCAAGAGACGAAAGGAGTAGGCAGGTTGGGGTCAACGTTACAAGCGAGTTGGGGGCATTTTGAGTCGACTCAAAATACAACTTTACAAGCGAGTTGGGGGCATTTTGAGTCGACTCAAAATACAACTTTACAAGCGAGTTGGGGGCATTTTGAGTCGACTCAAAATACAACTTTACAAGCGAGTTGGGGGCATTTTGAGTCGACTCAAAATACAACTTTACAAGCGAGTTGGGGGCATTTTGAGTCGACTCAAAATACAACTTTACAAGCGAGTTGGGGGCATTTTGAGTCGACTCAAAATACAACTTTACAAGCGAGTTGGGGGCATTTTGAGTCGACTCAAAATACAACTTTACAAGCGAGTTGGGGGCATTTTGAGTCGACTCAAAATACAACTTTACAAGCGTGTTGGGGGCATTTTGAGTCGACTCAAAATACAACTTTACAAGCGAGTTGGGGGCATTTTGAGTCGACTCAAAATACAACTTTACAAGCGAGTTGGGGGCATTTTGAGTCGACTCAAAATACAACTTTACAAGCGAGTTGGGGGCATTTTGAGTCGACTCAAAATACAACTTTACAAGCGAGTTGGGGGCAGCACTGGACGACCATCAGCCGTGTCTTCTCCTTCACGCAGACTTGAAGCCATTGCCAAGTAACGCGTGTGAACCTCTTGCTCACCTCTGCTCCACCGTGCTCACCTCTGCTCCACCGTGCCCACCTCCGCTCCACCGTGCTCACCTCTTCTCCACCGTGCTCCACCGTGCTCACCTCTGCACAGCCTGCACGAGGTCTGGGAATTTCCCCGTGGTGCACTCGGCATTGCGGCTGTAGATCTGCACTGACCCGTCCTCCAAGCCGTGCACCTGACAGGGGGACAGAGACGCAATCAAGATAGAGACCATGGCGGGAGTCACCACGGGGGAAGGGATACAAGCTTAGCCAAACAATGCGGCTACAGACATGCACTGACCCGTCCTCCAAGTCCAAGCTATGCACCTGACAAAAGGGGAGGGGGGGCTGGCTGGAAGGGGGGGCGGGAGAGGGGTGGAGGTAGAACAGCAAGGGAAGAGTAGCGAGGGCACATACTCGTGCACCTGGCAGGCTTCTCCTGGCCCGTGCTGTTATAAATGGGCATCTCACCTGCGTCTCACATGTGACCGTGAGCCCATGCAACTTGTCCATAGAAGGAAGGGAAGGACTTGGATCCGGCTTCCACTCACACGGGTGCATCTCACCTGCGTCCTCTCCAACTTGTACTTGTACTCGCATGTGAACGTGAGCCCCTGCAGCTTGGAATAGGTGCGCACACCCACCCACTCACCCCCCCACACACACAGACTCACCTGCGTGCGCCCCCCGTCGTACTTGTACTTGCGAGTGAACGTGAGCCCCTACATCTCATCCAGTACCAGGAAGGAAAGAAACAGCGTGAATCCAGTCCAGTGTATACTCAAGACGTGATTGCATCTCACCTGCGTCCTCTCCCCATCGTACTTGTACTCGCACGTGAACGTGAGGCCTTGCAGCTTGTCCAGGATCTCTGAGATGCCCCGCGTCGGCTTCGCCAGCATCGGCCCCACCGGCACCCCCAGGGTGAACCGGCAGTGGTCAGGCACGGCCCAGATGCCATCTTTTAGAAGGGATGGGATGACCCGGTCGTAGACTGGCAGGACCGAGTAGGTGTGCTTCATGATTCGCACTGCCTGGCGGGTGGGGGAAGGGGCGTTGCAAGGTACGAGAGCAGGTTCAAGTGGGCCTTGCAAGGGAGAAGGGTCCAGGATCTCTGAGATGCTCCGTGTGGGCTTCGCCAGCATTGGCCCCACAGGCACTCCCAGGGTGAACCGGCAGTGGTCAGGCACGGCCCAGATGCCGTCTTTCAGGAGGGAGGGAATGACCTTGTCGTAGACAGGCAGGACAGAGTATGTGCGCTTCATGATCCGCACTGCCTGGCGGGTGGGGGGAGGGGGGTTGCAAGGTGGATAGGAGAGCGAGATTGAGGTTTCCATGGTAGGCGAAAGGTCCAGGATCTCTGAGGTGCCCCGCGTGGGCTTCGCCAGCATCGGCCCCACCGGCACCCCCAGGGTGAACGGGTAGTTGTCGGGCACGGCCCAGATGCCGTCCTTAAGAAGGGATGGGATGACCCGGTCGTAGACAGGCAGGACTGAGCATGCAAGCTTCATGATTCGCACTGCCTGGGAGATGGGGAAGTGCGGGTGAAGAGGGAGGAGCAGTTGCAATATGAGCCATCTGCACTATGAGGTGCTGCCGCACGGGGTGAACCGACAGGCCTGAGCCGACAGCATGAGCCATATGCTTCACCGGCACCCCCAAGGTGAAGCGACAGGCCTGGGGGGGGGGGCGGCCCAGGCCCACATGCCATCCCTAAGGGGAGAAGGGATGAGTCGGTCATCGACAGGCAGCACTGAATAGGCGTGCTTCATGATTCGTAGGGCCTCGAATGAGGTGATAGGTGGCTTGGACAAGACGCATTGAGAGGCGCGGGGTTTGAGAGGCCTCAAAGGTCGTACACTGGCTTGACATGACCGAGTATATGACCTTTCAAGGCCAGTGTCAAGCCAGGTATGCATGCTCCATGATTCGCACTGCCTGGGTTGTGGGGGCTGGCTAGGGGTTCGCGCTTTGAGGTACCTGAAAAGGCTCCACTTTTGCATTGACTCAAAAGTCAGAAGTCATTTTGAGTCGACTCAAAAGCCATCTCGATTTGCACTGCCTGGGGTGTGGGGGCTGGGGGTTCACGCTTTGAGGTACCTGAAAAGGCTCCACTGGTGCTATCACCACCGGCACTACCTCCTCCTCCTCACCTCTTCCAGCCTTCCCGGCAGTCGAGCCAATCTCTCCCTCTTGGAAAGCACCTTCCCCCCTTGACTCTGCTGCCCCTGTCCATCCCCCTCGGCCCCTCCCACCTCCATGGCCCCATCCTCCCCTCTCCCCACTGCAGCATCTACTGCAGCAGCAGCACCACCACCATTACTATCACCAGCACCAGCAGCAGCAGCAGCACTGTTACCAGCAGCGCCACCCCCTTCTCGGAAGTCCTCGTGCATGACAGCAGCCTGTGCCAGCGCGGCCAGCACGGTCTGTTCCGCCAGGCCGATGCGCATCTTGCCCTGCAGCAGCCGCACTATGAACTGCGGCTCCTCCTGCCTCGCCGACACCAATAACTGCTTTATCCGTGCCCGCTTCTTCTCCTGGCTCTGAGTGCCGGATTCCTGCAGAGAGGAGGTCGAGAGGGAAGACATGGGCAGAAAGAGGCGGACTGGTAGGAGGTGAAGAGGGTATGCACGTCTAATGCATGCTCTGCCAGCCCGTTGCGCATCTTGCCCTGCAGCCGCCGCTCTATGAACTGCCGCTCCGCCTGTCTCGCTCACACCAGCAGCTGCTTTATCCTGGCTCTGGGTGCCTGATTCCTGGGGGAAGGGGAGAGAAGACACAGACAGGAAGAGGAGGGGTAGGGGGGGGGGTAGTCTAAGAAAGCTCAGTATCAAGAATGCATGGGTGGAGTCTCGTCTATTTCACTCGCCCGATGTGCATCTTGCGCAGCAGCCGCTGCACCATGATCTGCGGCTCCTCTTGTCGCAATGATACCAAAACTGCTGTATCCGCGCTCGGCTCTTCTCCACACACTGACAGCGGGGTTCCTGGTGGGGAGAGGGGCGGGGATACAGGGAGGAAGAGAGGGATGGGTGGGGGGGTGTTGGAAGAATGCTTAGTCTTGACGGCACAGGGCGAATGCAGCGGTGAAGTCTGTTCTGCCAACCCAGCGGACCGATGCACCCACCCACCTTAGCAATGAAGCGGAAGGCCTCAAAGACCTTATGGCAGGTGAGGGGCGCTGGCTGCATCATCATACGTTGGGTGGTGCGACTGGCCTTCGCCACTAGACCCAGGTCGCCACACTCCTGTGGTGCGGGTTCGGGTACAAGGATCAGGGCACACACACACACAGATACACGTGCAGATATCAAGGGACAGGTGCGGGGAGCTGGCTGCATCATCAAAGGCTGCTCTTTTGAAGTGTGAATCGATCCACTCAACACTCTGGACTAGAACGAGCTGTACCCCACACTCCTGTTAGCCACTCGTAACATGGTATACTGAACGACACCTTGTGCTACATTCAGTCACTCAACTCAACCATACACAGGGGGTTTGGGTTCAAGGTTTAGGGTACCTTGTACTCCGATTTGACTGTAGCCTCTTTTCTGCCAGTAGCTTCGGCCAAAGCGCGGATGATAGTGGCATCGCCAATCCCCAGCTCCACGCCCTCATGAGGTGGCGCCACACGATTGGCCGCCAGGTACACGATTGGCAGCAGATCCTCTGGCGATGTGGCCATGACTGTGCGGAAGACGTTGGTCATGATCTCTGTGATCGCCAGCCGTCCAGATTCGTTGGATATTCCTGGCACACAAGCGCAGGGTGGCGGGCAGGGTTGGATGATGAGACCAGAACCTTAAAGCCCTCAACCTGGAACCCGAAACCCTAAACCCTCAAACCTCAACAGGAATCGCCAGGGGTCTACAGCCCACATACTGCCTAGCGCCTGGGCGAGGTAGAGGAAGGGCACTCTCTCTCCGCTCTTCCACGTTGCTGCAGCCACAGGGTCGTACTGCACCAGCTTTGCTGCTAACGCCACCAACCCATCGCCAACCCCTCCCGCTGCCCCTGCTCCTGCTCCCGCCCCCTTCCCCCTGGTCTTTCTCTTGGCCTTCTTCTCCGTGGGTTGTTTCCCCTGCTTCAGGGAGTCGAATGCGGATTTGGCCTCCTCCGCTCCTGCTGCGGCGTCAGCAGGAGCCTCCACCAGGTCACTGCTGGCGCTGTCCACGTCACTGTCCACGTCAGCACCGTCACTGGTGCTCCTACTAATCGCAGATGCAGCCCCACCCTTGCTCCCACTACTGCCGCTGCTGTCACTGCTGCTGCTGCTGCTTTGGCTGCTGGTCCTGCGTCTGGTCCTCCTCTTCGCACCGCCTTCAGTTCCTGGTTCAGCGGTGGCAGCAGCATCAGTGCCAGTAGTAGCAGCGTCGGTGGAATCAGCAGCAGGTGCATCCGCTGCAGCCTTACCAGATGTGGCGGCTGCTGTCTTTTTCCTCCCTCTGCCGCCAGCTGCTGCCTTAAGGGTCACAGCTCCGGCAGAAGCCCCTCTAACGGCTACAGCTGCAGCAGACGCAGCAGCAGCGGCAGAAGCGACAGCAGACGCTGAAGCTTTGGCAGCAGCACCAGCAGCGGCGGCAGCAGCAGTAGTAGCAACAGCAGCAGCGGCTTTCTCCCCTGCCTGACCTCCTCCAGCCGCCTCACTCCCCGCTTCCTGTCTTGCCTTCTTGGAACCTTCTACCACCTCCCCTGTCCCTCCCCCCACCACCCCACTCCCGTCTCCTTCACCTCCCCCTTCCCCTCTCCCCTTCTCCATTCCCCTTGCCCCATCCCCAACCTTCCTCAGGCGTTTTAGCCGCCTGGAGCCACTTCCGTCGGTCACAGCTCCCCCTGTTCCTCCCCCTGCGCTTCCCCCTGCGCTTCCCCCTCCCTCTACTACCTCCGCCTCCATCATCTCTTCCACCCATTCCTCCGCCCCTGCCTGCTCTGGGCGGGTATCTTCTTTTCCTGCAGTAGCCACTGCTCCATCCCCGTTTTTAACGGCATTACCAGTCTGAGTGGGTACTGGCCTTTTTGCTGCTCCTGCCTCCAGAGCCTGGCTTTCCCTCGCTGTTGTTCCCTTCACCTCCTCGCTTGCCTTAACTACCGCACTGGGACTCGAACCCTCGACCTCGGATTTACCCACACCACCAGCACCAGCCTTCCCTCTCGCGCCAAAGAACGAGGAGATCGACCTCTGGCCGCCCCCAGGTAAAGCCTTCCCCCCGGGTCCTGACTGGTCCTTGCCTCCGAAGAACGAGGCTATCGACCGTTGGCCGCGACTGTCTGCGGCAGTAACTCCAGGCTTCTTTGAACCGCCGCCTCCCTGTCCTGACTTCATCGTGGCTGGTAGCTGGTTGCTGGCTAGCCGTTTGTTGACGGTTGCTAGTTGATGATCGACTGGTGAGTGGTGAGACGCTAGAGGCTTACGAACTGAAGGCAATCGACGGACGGCTGGCGATCCCTGAAGAGGTGCTGCGCGGTGGAGAGCAGTGATTCCTGCTGGTCGGGTAAATCGCACGGCTGCTTGTAGCGAGGTTGCGCTCTGATGCTGTGTGACAGAACGGGTGTGACAACAACGGGTGCGACAACAGCGGGCGTGACAACGACGGCTGTGACCTAAACGAGTTACAGCGACGACGGTCGGGCGCGAATAGCTAAGGCGGATGGCTGTGGTACGTAAGGCGGGAAGCCTAAAGCTTAAGCTGCGGAAGCCAAGCGCTAGGCTCATTGAGCCGTACGCCAAAGGACGCCTCGCGACGCCTAAGTACACCTGGCGACGCCGAAGGACACCTGGCGACGCCTGACAACACCTGGCGACGCCGAAGGACACTCAAGGATTCGGTAAGAACGCCTGTGGACGCGTCTATGGACTCCGAATCCAAACCTGGTGATTCCGGATTGGTGCTCTCGAAACGCACCGACTGCTTCACTTGAGGGCCTTATGGAGTGAGTGCTCTGACGGAGAAAGTGCGCACACCAGTGACGCTAAAAACCAGCGCTAGGTTTCCCACTCCCTAAACTCATCCGTACCTTGCTTTCGAGACGGTTCGCAACGCAAGCAGTGTCTTACTTTCTAAGATGATTCGTTGCTCGCATGAGCTGCTGTTGCTCAGCAAATAACAACAGATCGACCAGTGTGCAGCAGCCCTGGTGGTGTCACATGAAACTTGACAGCAGGGGAGAAGTAGGGAGGGATGAGGTAAAAGCGAGCCTGACGCATGGAAGTTGGTTTTCGCGCCAACGCCAAAGCGCGGAATGATCAAGGTTGACAAGGACAAAGCCCTGCGGGGTGCCAGAAGCGCGCCAGCCCTGGCTTGGGAACACCGACTTGGAGGCGATGCGACACGAAGTGACTCGTTACAACTGATTGCAAGATTCTAAGGAAAACAGTACAGTCTAAATCCAAGCACGATAAATTGGGCAGAGAACATTCGCACATATCACAACTCAATCGAACAGGGAAGAGCAAGATGGAATGCCCGAATCCCACATCATTTCACTCACTTCGCAGCCAACAAACGTTGTCGCCGTGGAGCCGTGGTACCACTAAAGAGAGCTGCTCTAGGGCTTTCCTGTACCGTTCTTCCTAGAACCTTGATATGCTGACGCGTTTGAAGGGCATTTAGTCTAGACTGTTTCATGTCGCTGCTGCGACCACAGGTGGCGAGGCCACTTTGGCGAAAAGTATCCCTCGAAGCGTGGAACCGAACAGAATAGTAACCGACAATGCGGTCGAGTGCCATGTCAGCTCCGCGCTTCCCCCCGCTCCTCAACCGTCCGCCGCTCCCGCTCATCGTCGGCGCGCTCTTCGCGCTGCTGCTGCTGGGACTCTACCTCTCCTCTCCGCCTACCCCCTCGCTACCGACAAACATCCCCGCCCATGACAGGCTGGCCAACTTCCGCCCAGTCAGCGAGGTAGGTGGAGATTTTTAGGGAGAATAGAAGCGCGAATGCCAGGGGCAGATGTTTAAACGCCCTGCATCTTATCTCCTCTGCTCTTGATCCCCCCGCCCCCCCGCTTCCAGGTTGGGTGGGCTATCATCGGCTGTAGCGCGCTGATGACAGCAAGGAGATGCGGGCCTGTTAGAAACGCGTGCCTCGATCCCTCCTATTGCCCCTCCCCACGCGCACTCCCAGGTGCGGTGGGCCATCATAGGGTGTGGCGACGTCACAGAGAAAAAGTCCGGGCCCGCGCTGTCGCTGATTCCCTACTCTCGCCTCGTCATGGTCATGCGGCGAAACGGCAGCCTGGCTCAAGACTACGCTGAAAGACACAAGGTGGCCAGGTGGGTGGGAGTGATGCAAGCAAGGCACCACGTGTGAGTGTGGTTAATCCGTGTGCTTCCCTCCTCACGCCTCGTCATGGTCATGCGGCGGAACGGCAGCTTGGCCCAAGACTACGCTGAACGGCACAAGGTGGCCAGGCGAGTGATGCCAATATCCCTGTAGCAACGAGTGTGAATGTGTTTCTGTTGAGTTTGTGTGTTATGCGCCTGACCGCAGTACCCCATACGCAGGTCCATTTCTTGTCTGTGTGCGAATGAACGAATGAGGGTGTGTTTGTCTGTGTGTGGAGGGGGGAAGAGAGGGGGGGGAGGGGGGGAGGGGGGGGGGGGATTTGGGTGGGGAGGAGGGGACAAGGGGTTATGTGTACGATGGGTGTTCTGCGTGCGTGTCAGGTCAGATGGTCCACGAGTGCGGAGGAGACGATCAACCATCCCGATGTCAATGCTGTTTACATCGCTACTCCCCACCGCTACCATGCACAGTAAGCCACCGCTACCATGCACAGTAAGCCGCCGCTACCATGCACAGTAAGCCGCCGCTACCATGCTCAGTAAGCCGCCGCTACCATGCTCAGTAAGCCGCCGCTACCATGCTCAGTAAGCCGCCTGTGCCATGTGTTCACCAGACCATGTGGTACCACGTCATGTCGCACATGCTCACCAGGCGTACGTATGCTTACCACATGTGGCAAGTGTTTGAGAATTCTCAGATCCCTGGCGCGCAGTACGAATGCAGTAACACGAGATCGCATGAACGGGTCCGATCGATTATGGCAAGATTTGCGTCCATTCTGACTGGCCACGCCTGGGTGCCTTTGCATTAACGTGATCGCATTCATGTGCTGCCGTGTGATTCCACGTGATGCCACGTGTGCAGGTATGCCATGATGGCGGCGCAAGCAGGGAAGCCAGCCTACGTGGAGAAGCCAATGGGAATGAGCCACGTGGACAGCTCTGCCATCCTCTCTGCCTTTCAGCGCGCCAAGCTGCCTCTCTTTGTCGCCTACTACCGCCGCGCCCTGCCCAACTTTCTAAGGGTGTGTTTACAATATACCCTGATTTCGTAGGGTGTGACTGGGCTGTACCTTTCAGCGTGCCAACCTGCCCCTCTTGGTCGCCTACTACCACCTCGCCCTGCCCAACTTTCTAAGGGTGTGTTTGCATTGCGCCCACCATTCTTAGGGGGTGTTTCATGCTCTGCCCAATGTCCACATGCTACCACTAATTCCTCATACAACCCCGTCGGCCCTCTCTGCAGATCATGACCTTACTGCAATCGGGTGCAATAGGCGACTGTGTCTCAGTGCAGGTGGTATACCACCACCCACTCTTCCAATAGTCCCCCATTAACCCCATGTTTGCAGATCAAGGCGTTGCTGCAATCGGGTGCCATAGGCGATGTCCTCTCAGTGCAGGTGGTTTACTACCACCCACTCTCCTAATAGGCCCCCATGAACCCTGTCGACCCTATCTGCAGATCAAGGCCTTGCTGCAATCGGGTGCCATAGGCGACGTCCTCTCAGTGCAGGTGGTTTACTACCACCCACTCTCCTAATAGGCCCCCATGAACCCTGTCGACCTATCTGCAGATCAAGGCGTTGCTGCAATCGGGTGCCATAGGCGACGTCCTCTCAGTGCAGGTGGTTTACTACCACCCACTCTCCTAATAGCCCCCCATGAACCCTGTCGACCCTATCTGCAGATCAAGGCCTTGCTGCAATCGGGTGCCATAGGCGACGTCCTCTCAGTGCAGGTGGTATACCACCGGCCGCCCAACAAGTATGACTACCAGTGGGCCATCAGCGGGGTCCCGTCACAGAGAGAGCTGCAGACGATGCTGCAAGAACAGCAGCAGCAGCAGCAGCAGCAGCAGGGAGAGGGGAACGGGAAGGGGAAGGAAGACGGGGCGCAGCAGCAGCATCAGCAGCAGCATCAGCAGCGGCAGTATCCCCACCGCCCTCCCCCCCAGCACCACCCAGCAGGGGCGTCTCTCTATAACGCCTCGCTCAAGTGGCGGGTGGATCCCCTCGTGGGGGGCCTGGGGGGCTACTTTCGCGACAAGGGCAGCCACCACCTGGACCTCCTGGACTTCTGGTTCGGCCCGATTGTGAGTATAGGGGCGGGCAGATGCATCGTAGGGAAATGGAAAGCTTGGACTCAAGTGGCGGGCGGACCCCCGTGTGGGGGGGATGGGGGGCTGCTGTCGCGACAAGGGAAGCCACCACGTGGACCTCCTTGTCTTATGGTTCGGACCCGTTGTGAGTATCGATGAATGCTTCGTATAAGCATGCCTTGAATCCGCTATAAGCCTGGATTAGAACCTGCCGTTACAACCTGCATACATTCACCCACCAACATGTCATCAGAGTCCTTCCCTCCAAACCTTCCTCATTTCCCGGCCCCTGAACAGGTGGCTGCCTCTGGTTGGTCCACCAATCTTGCGGGCCTGTACCCATCCCCTGATACAATCACAGCCCATTTCCGGTTCTTCAACGGAATCGTCGGCACGGGCAGCTGGAATTTTGCAGCGGGCAAGTCCAGCCAGCAGGAGTACGGCGAGATCACGGGCAGCTCGGGCAGAATTAAGTTCCAGTTCTTCCTGTCGAATAAGGTTGAGCTGTGGAATGATACCGGCCACCATGAGTGGGATGACCCAAGCCCAACACATGTGCAACAGCCATTGCTGGCTACAGTAGTGTCGGCTTTGAGAGGAGCAGGGGAATGTCCGAGTGAGGGGGAGAGTGCAATAAGAACGAGCTTTATTCTGGATAAGATTGTGACTGGGGAAAAATGGCCGTGAAAAGCGTGTATGTGACTCAATTAGGCCTACTGTTGTTGGAGTAGGTTATGGATATATTGGTTGATTGGAGTGAGCGAAAAGACTACCTCAGCAACAGCAGAAGAACCGGTGGTGCACCATTTGGTCCCCTCCATGTTTGCACCCTGGAATGCACTCGTGGTCTGCTCTGCTCACACCACCCCCAATCAGCACTAAGAGCGTGTTCCTGGGACCGATTTGTATACTTATACGTATGCTTTATATATAGAAGTTATAGGTCAGTGAGGTTTGTGTTCTTAGAGGGTACAACACCGACCCTAAATGTCCAGTGTACCTCCTTGCTCTAGTCTCTTACCTACTATGAGATGGTATCACGCTAGGTAGGTCCCACCCACCCACGCTTCCGCCATAGCCTACCATAGAACGCTCCGCCCTAGCTTGCCGCGTCTGCCCTAGCCCTACGCGCCGCGCTGGCCCCTAGCTCGCCGCGCTGGCCTCAGCCCACCGCGTCGGCCCTGTCTTGCCACGCCGCCCTAGCTCGCCGCGCGACCACCAGATCGCCGCTGGACCTAGCTCGACGCCCCCCCCCCCCTCGCCGCGCGCCCCCCTGTTCGCTGTTGGCCCCAGCTCGCCGCCGGCCCCAGCTCAACGAGCGGGCCCTAGTTCACCGGGGGCCCCCACTGCTTGCCGTCGGCCCCAATTCACCTCCAGCCCCAGCTCGCCGCGCGGCCCACAGCTCGCTGTCGGCCCCAGCTCACCGCGTGGCCCACAGCTCGCCGCGGCCCCCTGCTCGCCGTTGGCTCTAGCTTGTCGTCGTCCCCAGCTCGCCACCAGCCCCAGCTTGCCGTGCCGCCCCAGCTAGCCGCGTTGGCTTCGGCTCAACGCACCGCCTCAGCTCGCCGCGCCAGTCCCTTCTCATCGCAGGCCCCTACTTGCTACCGGCCCCAGCTTGCCGCTGGCCCTCGTTTCTCCTCTGCGCCGGCGCTCCCGTCGGCAGTCTCCTCTCTTGCGGCTTCACCGTATTGTACCGCACTCCACCACAATCGCTTGCTCCCCAGGCTCACTTTAATTCCTCCCCCTCTCGACGCTATGCTATATTTCTTAGCTATGCACCTCCTTAAACACCAAGCTACTACCCGCGAAACCTTTCTTAGTCTTCACCCCGCTGACCTCACCCTTAGTGACTTCGTCGCCACCCTCGGCGATAGAGACTCGTCAGCGCACTTACTCTAACATCTGTGCTGCTGTCGCTGAGACAGTCCCTGTCGCTGCGATTGCTGTGGCAGTCCCAGCGCAGCTGCGTTATGGTAGAGCCCCCTGGCGCCCCAAGGAGGGGCCTAAGGGAGGGAAGCTGGGGGTGATAAGGGTGGCGGGTGTGAGAGTACGACCCCGTTACACCACTTGTCCTATTCTTATTTCCTTCCTATTTCATTTTTCTTTTTATCTCATCTCATTTGGTTTCCTATTCTCCATTCTTCCATTATCCATTGGTTGATCCTGCTATTATAATTATATCACCGACCAGGCTTGGGATGTACTGGCACATTATCCAGCGTAATCCTGCCGTAATCCCTTAAAGCCAATGGCCTCGTGTGGCTATACGCAGGGTGATTCTATATTCTAGAAGGGTCTATTCCTTTGGATAGGATAAACCTGGTTACCTGATGTACTCTGGAAGTATAAAAGCACCTTGTACTGATCGATAGTGCAATCGATCCTCGAGTCATTCGATCCTGTAACACTTGGTAATCAGAGCTTTTCTCACTCGGCCGCGCTCAACAAAGCAGCAGCAGCGGGAAAACCTGCCTCGAAAAACCGCCGGGGGCGACGAATTCGACGCCGATTCTGGTAAGCACCAGCTCCGCGTTTTGTGAATTCCCCCTCCCGCGCGTGTTTTGAACAGGATGGCAACCTTCGACAACGCCGAGGTTACCCAGCAACTCTTCGCGCGCATCGCCGCTCTTCAGGAGGAGCTGCGAGCGGATCGCGAAGCGTGGCGAAACGAGTTCGAGCGAGTAACTCGACTCGCCGGAGCGCAACACGACTCGACAACGGCGACGACGCAGCAGTTTCTCGAGGCTCCGAAACCGCGCCCACCTGAGCCGTTCGATCCGAGCGATCGAAACTCCGACGCCCGCAGATGGATCGCCGGGATGGAGATCTACTTCGTAGCCGTCGGATGGAGCTCGCCAGTCTGGGACGGTCAACGCGTACGACTCGCGGCGACACTGATGCGAGGGCCGGCACTCGAGTGGATTGGCGGCAACAGCACCTTCATCCACGGTGAAGCCACGTGGCAGCAGTTCCGCGCCGACCTGCTCAAACGATTCGAGCCGATAAATTCAGGTTTCCTTGCTCGCGAAAAAATTCATCGCCATCGACAGTTCGGGAGTGTAGCACAGTACACGCAGCAGATGGAAGAATTTTATAACCGAATTCCCGACCTGACCGAAGGGGAAAAAGTGCAATCGTACCTCGCAGGGCTGAAGACCGAAGTCAAACGACAGGTGGCAGCGTCAAACTACGCGAGCTACAGTGACGTCGTTTCGGCCGCGGAGCGCTTCGACATGGTCAACGCCGGAACACGACGGACGCACGTCAGCAGTACGCGACAAGGCGACCGCTCGGCTCACACCACGTTCGCCGATCCGATGGAGATCGACAGATTCGACGGGCGGCCACGTCCGAAAAACACCAACTACACGTGTGATTTTTGCGGGGTGCCGGGCCACCGAATCTTCGACTGCAACAAAATGAAGGCCGCACGCGCAGAGTATCGGGCACGCAACAGTGGCGGAAATCTTTCGGCCAATTAGAAGACAAAAAACGGGAGTCGCCAGTGATTGCGGATCTAGCTGGCGAAAAAGAAAAGATCCGGAAACGGCCGCGGGATTCCGGGAAAATCTACTTCGACGAAGCTGATTCGACGCGAGCAGGAGGAAATGATGGGGGAAAATCTCCACCCCACGACCAGTCTTCGCCAGAGGAAATCGCCGAGGAAAAATCAGACTCCGCGAAAAAAGACTCTGCCGAAACGGGGAAACTCCTTGAAGACCCAAGAAAATATAAGAATTCGTTAAAGCTATCATATAAAGATGCTTTAATGAAAACTTATGATTTTCGAGGGGCTAGAGCCTTGGAGAAAATACGGGAGGGACTCCAAAAGAAGTAGAAAGCTGTGGAGATCATACCGGTACCGGACAACATGGGGAAAAAATTAAAGAGTGTGGAAAGAAGCCGACCTTTCCACGGAATCAACGTCCTCTCCCGACACCAGCCCACATCGATTACCCGTTCCCCAGGGAAGACGTCAGTGGAGCTGAAGCAGCTTAAAAGGAAGCTGGGGGTCTACAAGAAGCTGCAAAAACCCCGAACTCCTTCTCCGGATGCATCCAGTTCTTCGGCATCAATGACGCGCACAGTCGTCAAGGAAACTCCGGGCCCTGGAGAAGAGCCGTTCTCCAAGCAGCCTCGGCCAGCTGCTAGCTCAGGAGCAGATAGCAACGAAAAGGTGTGTACGGATTATTGGGATGTACCCTATGACCCCATTAATGAAACTATCTTTGGGTACTCCGAGCAACGCCCGCCTCTCGTGCTCGAGGTCATCTGCAAAGGACGACGCCTCCAAGCACTCGTGGACAGCGGAGCATCTCACACCGTCTGCGACAAGGCAGCAATCGACCGACTTCGGGAAGAGTACAAGCCTTCAGGATTCTCTGCAACGATGGTGGATGGCAGCAAGCTACCAGTACACGGCGAAGCAGTGTTACACCTACGAATTGGACCACTACGCTGGAGACCTGCACTCCCCATCACCAACATCAAAGGGCTTGACCTGATTTTCGGGCGAGACTTCCTGAAAAGATTCAACCCCGAAATCAACTGGGTGAACCGCACTGCAAGCATCTACAACAATGGAAGGCGAGTTCAGCTACCAAACTGGGACGATACATGAGATATCCCAGTGGAGACACTCGCACGATTCGAGAAGGACGTGAAGCGAACCGACACCGGGTTCCTGGCGTTAGCAACAGAGGTGGAAACCGACGGAGAGAAGACCTCGGAACCTCCAGGAGAAATCAAGAAGTTGCTGAAGGAATTCCAAGACATTCTTCCTGATGACCTACCGAACGAGCTACCGCCATACCGCACGCATCAACACGAGATCATAGAGGAACCGAGTTCGAAGCCGAACTTCCGAGCACCATATCGACTCAGCCCTACGGAGCTGACCGACATGAAAAAGCAGATCGAGTATCTCCTAGCCAAAGGACTCATCCGGCCATCTACTTCACCATACGGTGCCCCAGTACTCTTCACCCCGAAACCGGACGGAAGCCTGCGCATGTGCATCGACTACCGAGCTCTTAACAAGCAGACCATCAAGAACAAGTATCCGATACCACGAATCGATGACCTGCTTGACCAGCTTCGGGGAGCTACGGTATTTTCCAAACTGGATCTGCGGTCCGGATACTGGCAAATACGCATGGCGGACAACTCTATCCACAAAACTGCTTTCCGAACTCGGTACGGATCGTACGAGTATTTGGTCATGCAGTTCGGACTCACCAACGCACCAGCGACGTTCCAAGCAGAAATGAACCACATCCTACGCCCACTCTTGGACGAATGCGTGGTGGTGTACCTGGACGACATCCTCATCTAATCGCGCGACATGAAGCAGCACGTCGAACACCTGCGACGCGTCTTCAAAATTCTTCGACGGGAACGTTTCTACATCAAACTGTCCAAGAGCGAATTCGCCCTGGAGAAGGTCCAATTTCTAGGACACATGGTGAGCGCTCAAGGAGTTCACGTCGACCCCAAGAAAATCGAAGCCGTACGTACGTGGAAGACACCCGAGAACGTGAAGGAGTTGCAGCAGTTCCTAGGCTTCGCTAATTACTACAACAGGTTCGTGCCACAGTATGCGAAACTCGCGGCACCACTCACGAATCTGCTGAAGAAGAACACGCCCTACAAGTGGGAGACGAAGCACCAGGAAGCCGTGGAGCAGCTGAAACAAGCACTAACATCCGCACCGGTGCTCATCTTGCCAAATCCCGAACGTGACTACGTCATTGAAGCAGACGCCAGTGATCAGCCCGTGGGAGCAGTCTTGATGCAAGACCAGGGGAACGGACTGCAACCAATTGCCTACCTCAGCAAGAAACTGCACGGGGCAGAACTCAACTACCCGATACACGACAAAGAGGCTCTTGCTATTGTCATCGC